TTTGGTTAACTCCAATATTTACAAATTCTCTCTGAAGAAATCTTGGCATACTAGTATCTGCCGGTTTCAATATATAAAATACCACATCTAAATTTGGATAAAACGAGGGTGGTCTCTGTAGATTACATGTTTAACATAATGTTCAACAGTTTAAGTTGCTTTATAAGCTCAATATGTGGTAAGCTTAGTACTATTTAGTTTACCTGTATCATTCCATAACGAAATACGCCAATTTTCAATATCGCTGTTTATTAGAAATTGTATAACATGATTAACACTCCCAACCATTAACAATAAAAAGTTCACCAGTAAACTGGGAAGACATGCTTAAACCCCTACAGCCTAAAGATCCCCTTTTAAGTTCAGCCCTTTCATGAATTTGTATAGGAAAGCGAGTAGGTCGCATGAATGTTAGACGAAAGAGATATCTAAAACAATCTGTTTTCTGACTGACATTAAAAGAACGCCATCCATATCTCCCCTAATTGCAATAACTGGCGCATTCTTTCTTACTCCAAGAAACATCCCCCAGGCCTAATTCTGCACTATTTCTACTTCTCGGTACTTATATATCCCCCAAATACTGGCACCATACAGTAATACAGACACAACAAGAGACCTATACAGTTTGGTAAAAAACATCATATGACATTCTCCCTGCATACATAAACTTTGTGTACAAAGCAGACACGGCTCTACTTGCTGATTGACATAGTTCCTTACCTGTTGCATCATATCCATGTGTTCATCTAAACACAGGCCCAAGTAACGGTAAATACTGTTGTAAGCAATTGGGACATCCCACAACTGAAAACTACAGCAGGATCTTAAAACAGATTTCTTCCTAAAACGGACAGCTTTGGTTTTGTCATAATTAACATTTGGACGCCATTTGTACACCAATTGCTTAAAACATTTATTATACCTTAGAGGGACATTTCATCGAGGGCTAAATATGTAGAAGGTGACCTCTTAAGCACTTAAAGCAACAACAATAGCATGGAGTAATACAATGGCTGGTTTAAGGAAGGTGGAGTTTGTCATGTCACAGAAGGGGAGCTCTCAAGTGCTACTTGGGGGTTACCTGTATAACAAGAATATTGCTAGACAGACAGACCTGCATTCACTTGAAGTTCGTCAGGTCTACATGTAAATGAAGAGGTACCACTGCAGGCGATTCCCACCCTCCAGACGATAGCAACAAACTCCGTTTTATCAGCACCATCAGAAAGAGAGCCCACGATGAAACCACTCAGATGCATGCTCTGTAGAACGATGAAGGAACTAGACAGGACTCCGACCTGTTCCATTCCTACCATCTTTGTGTAGCGCTGTGTACAAACACAGAAGGAAGACCATACCCGTTCTGCCACAGACGCGAGCCGCAGTTCAGATGGAAGGAGGGTGGACACAGACATCAGATGGCCAGCCCTTTGCCCTGTCCTGTGGGACCAAGTCTATATCATACATGCTAGGACTGGATCCGTGTCATACCCACTCCTCTGTGCTATTTTGCCAGGTCGCCAGAAAGAAACGTACAGCAGACCTATCAGCCTCATCAAGACAGAAGTGCAGCAGACTCAGTCTGTCAGTTGCGCCGGATTTGGAACTTGCTACAATCCGTGCAAGTGAAGATGACTTCCCAGATGCCGAAACGAAGGGCTGCTTCTTCCACTTTAGACATGCGCTTTGGAGGAAAACCCAAGATCTAGGCCTTGCTTTCCAGTATAAAGAAGATCCAGCTGCACGACAGTGGATACAACAATCTGGTGGACATGGACTCAACGCCAGAAGTTCAGAGAGCCATTGAATTCAACGACTACATGGTTATGAACTGGCTGGATGACGATGTACGCTTCCCCGTGTCGCTGTGGAGCCACCACCTGACTGATTGACCTCGTACAAACAATCACTTCTAGTATTTCTTGTTGGACTGCTTCATTCCACTAATATGCAGTATTAATACGTGGTAATAGGGAGTATTAATATGTAGTAATAGGCAGTATTAATATGTAGTAATAGGCAGTATTAATATATAGTAATAGGCAGTATTAATATGAAATAATAGGCAGTCAGCACTGCGTGCACTGGGCCGTAATAATTGTTGTTTTAGTCTGTAGAAGGGTACCCATTCAGAAGGTATTTACCTGTAGTGCAGGTAATATATTTATACATACATACATAATTAAATTTTCGTTGTGTTCATTGTAATTCCTGCATTTTGATTAGCTGAATTGGTCACGTGTTATTGCATTGATTTCCCAATAAATGTAAAACATTAAGCCACGCCCACCGAAGCGGACTACTTTTATTTCAACGGAATGTGGGGGAATCCCAAAATTACAGTCGAGGTTATTCCCTTTCTGCTCATGTGTATAGTCATGCGCAGGACATTAAGCTTATTCATGCATATTCATTGTCCAATCTACCCTTTCGGACCGAAGGCTGAGAAGGAATGAAACAGCAAACGTGCACGCTCGATCGGTTTTTCGATTCATACCTCAATGAACAGAAAAAATCCACAGTCAATCCTTAAAACAAATTAATCCTCTACCGTTTGCAATGTGTCATATGGCACAGATCCGAAATCACATTCATTATCATGACAAATGCATATCTTTAAATATCGTTTTAAATGGTTATTTTTAATACAAAAACACACTAATTTAAAACGAATCAATTCAAACTTTCGATACGTAACTCACTACATGTACTTCTCAACAAGTGGTTTGGGGCGTGCATGGGAGTTCGGCGTCCTGTGCCCACTGTCTGTGTAAGGGCTATAATTTAAATTACGACATTTTAACGTAACAGTCTCCCTCATAACAACCAACAGGTATGCAGTAAGTGTAAATGTATTAAAAGAAATGTATGTGCACCAAAACAAATCACATTAACATATTAACAACGCGTGTCGGTCTGACGTTGATTAATGAACGATTTGCACACTCGTATATGCAAGGGGCCGACGTATGGTTCTCAGTAGGAAGTGACAACTTGGAGACGATGGCTTGCGGTATATACAGTTTTACTTTATACATGTAGATATATACATACAGAAGACACTGTGCCAGGTCAGCACATGGTGGTAGTGGTTGGTGTCTAGGTGCCCCGGAGCACCCAGCCTAACCCTAGCTAGGCTAAGGGTAAGACCTTTCTTTTTCCCCCTCTCTATCTCTCTGGACCAAGGCTTATATAGCCAAGGTCACCTGACATTTAGTAAGTAATAAATATAAATGTAAACAGTAAATCATCAGTGACATACTTGCACATCCTGTTCAGGATGGCAGACGGTAGATGTACACAAAAATGGGGATTAACAAATAGGATTAGCATCTAATAAATAACAGCAATTAAATGTTTCAAGGCATATAGATGTCATGGCTCCAGGGTAATGAGCCTTTGCAATTAAATGTTCTTTAGACAATGGGTATCGTAAATCAGTCACCATGACAACATAATAAATTTATTGTTATTTTTTCAGAACCATGCATGGTAATGACATGTACACACTTTGTTATGATTACCCATGATGAACCTGACTGTACCTGGTCTCAGAGAAAATCGTTGAAGTGTTATAACTGTGAAAAGCAACTTTGTTGACGGCCAAACCTCGTGAACGTTATGCCTCGCCTGTCTGATAATGCTTGAATCCGGAATTTCACAAAACGTTGTCGTTCGGAGTTTTGGTGTTCATCGTAACGCCATCCAGTCACTCTGGGGTCGGTACCAGACTGGCAACACCACGGACTGACCACGTTCTGGACGTCCACGGGTAACGTCACGTCGGTAAGATGATGATGTTCGTCTGGTTCACACCCGTGAAATCGGTTTCAGACAGCAACTTTGACAGCCCGCGGTATCCCTGGCTTACGTGTGATTAGTCTAAGGACTGCGAGGTTTAGATTAGACACCTCCCCCATTCCTTTGGTCTGCTATTTCGACAGATCTGTCGCCCATCGAACATGGTTAACGCTGCACTCAGCAATAGTCCAGTTATATGACGGCGGTACAGACGAGACAATCCAGTGATTGATATAATGTGCATCGATCTACTCAATTGGGATACGACTTCGTGGATACTTCCGCTCTCCGGGCAGACGCACTATCAACTAGACCATGCAGGCGGTCCAGTTGTCAGTGTTTGGTGCAAAAATAAACATTTGAATTTTGAAATTAACACATTATATATATATATATATATATATATCGTCTCTGTCACCAGGTCACCAGTTTGACTTTATGTTCGACGAGCACAGTTTAACTGTCACCATGGAGCTTGACATGGTGTTTCCCATGGAGCAGTGGGCGGAGATAGTGCAGCTGTGAGTATAGATAAATCATTGGTCGTAAGTACCGACAGTGTCCTGTTGATAAGGATAATGCAACTGTGAGAATAGATAAATCATCCTGTTGATAAGGATAGTGCAGCTGTGAGAATAGATAAATAATCCTGTTGATATGGATAGTGCAGCTGTGAGTATAGATAAACCATCTTGTTGATAAGGAAAGTGCAACTGTGAGTATAGATAAATAATCCTGTGGGTACGGATAGAGCAGCTGTGAGTATAGATAAACCATCCTGTTGATACGGACAGTGCAGCTGTGAGTATAGATAAATCATTATGTTGATACGGATAGTGCAGCTGTGAGTATAGATATATAATCCCTTTGATAAGAATAGTGCAGCTGTGAGTATAGATAAATAATCCTGTTGGTACGGATAGAGCAGCTGTGAGTATAGATAAATCATCCCGTTGATAAAGCTAGTGCAGCTGTGAGTATAGATAAATAATCCTGTTGATATGGATAGTGCAGCTGTGAGTATAGATAAACCACCCTGTTGATAAGGATAGTGCAGCTGTGAGTATATGTAAATCATTGGTCGTAAGTAGTGACAGTGTCCTGATGATGCGGATAGTGCAGCTGTGTGTATAGGCCGTAGGTACTATCGGTGCAAAGGACATACTCATTATGAACTCTGAGGTCTCTCTCTTCCTGCCCCAGGAACTCCTCCTCGTCAGGGCTAGGCACCAGGCACAAGAGGAAGGGAATCCGGTTTGGCCGAGGCGGGAACAAGTGGTCAAGTAACACAATCCCATATGAAATAGCGTCAGGCACATTCAGTGAGTACTCGGGATGCCGCCCCAAGTGTCTTTCTGGTGTATGAGACAACCCACGTGTGTGTCTGGTGGTGTATGAGACAACCCACGTGTTTCTGGTGGTGTATGTGACAACCCACGTGTCTGTCTGGTGGTGTATGTGACAACCAACGTGTGTCTGGTGGTGTATGTTACAACCCACGTGCCTGGTGGTGTATGAGACAACCCGTGTGTCTTTGGTGGTGTATGTGACAGCCCACGTGTCGGTCTGGTGGTGTATGAGACAACCCACGTGTTTGTCTGATAGTGTATGAGGCAACCCACGTGTCTGATGGTGTATGAGACAACCCGTCTGTCTTTGGTGGTGTATGTGGCAACCCACGTGTCATTCTGGTGGTGTATGAGACAACCCACGTGTCTGATGGTGTATGAGACAACCCGTCTGTCTTTGGTGGTGTATGTGGCAACCCACGTGTCATTCTGGTGGTGTATGAGACAACCCACGTGTGTCTGGTGGTGTATGTGGCAACCCACGTGTCTGTCTGGTGGTGTATGAGACAACCCACGTGTGTCTGGTGGTGTATGTGACAACCCACGTGTTTCTGGTGGTGTATGAGACAACCCACGTGTTTCTGGTGGTGTATGGGACAACCCACGTGTTTCTGGTGGTGTATGGGACAACCCACGTGTTTCTGGTGGTGTATGGGACAACCCACGTGTTTGTCTGGTGGTGTGTGAGACAACCCACGTGTTTGGTGGTGTATGAGGCAACCCACGTGTCTGTCTGGTTGTGTATGAGACAACCCACGTGTGTCTGGTGGTGTATGAGGCAACCCACGTGTCTGTCTGATAGTGTATGAGACAACCCACGTGTGTCTGGTGGTGTATGAGGCAACCCACGTGTCTGTCTGGTTGTGTATGAGACAACCCACGTGTGTCTGGTGGTGTATGAGACAACCCACGTGTCTGTCTGGTGGTGTATGAGACAACCCACGTGTGTCTGGTGGTGTATGAGACAACCCACGTGTCTGATGGTGTATGAGACAACCCGTCTGTCTTTGGTGGTGTATGTGGCAACCCACGTGTCATTCTGGTGGTGTATGAGACAACCCACGTGTTTCTGGTGGTGTATGGGACAACCCACGTGTCTGTCTGATAGTGTATGAGACAACCCACGTGTGTCTGGTGGTGTATGAGACAACCCACGTGTTTGTCTGGTTGTGTGTGAGACAAGCCACGTGTGTCTGGTGGTGTATGTGGCAACCCACGTGTCTGTCTGGTGGTGTATGAGACAACCCACGTGTGTCTGGTGGTGTATGTGACAACCCACGTGTTTCTGGTGGTGTATGGGACAACCCACGTGTCTGTCTGGTGGTGTATGAGACAACCCACGTGTTTGTCTGGTGGTGTGTGAGACAACCCACGTGTCTGTCTAAAAGTGTATGAGACAATCCGCGTGTTTGTCTGATAGTGTATGAGACAACCCACATGTTTGTCTGATAGTGTATGAGACAATCCGCGTGTTTGTCTGGTGGTGTATGAGACAACCCGCGTGTTTGTCTGATAGTGTATGAGACAACCCAAGCGTTTGTCTGGTAGTGTATGAGAAAACCCACGTGTTTGTCTGGTGGTGTATGAGACAACCCACGTGTCTTTCTAAAAGTGTATGAGACAATCCGCGTGTTTGTCTGATAGTGTATGAGACAACCCACATGTTTGTCTGATAGTGTATGAGACAATCCGCGTGTTTGTCTGGTGGTGTATGAGACAACCCGCGTGTTTGTCTGATAGTGTATGAGACAATCCGCGTGTTTGTCTGATAGTGTATGAGACAACCCACGTGTTTGTCTAGTGGTGTATGAGACAACATACGTGTTTGTCTGATAGTGTATGAGACAACCCAAGCGTTTGTCTGATAGTGTATGAGACAACCCACGTGTTTGTCTGATAGTGTATGAGACATCCCACATGTTTGTCTGATAGTGTATGAGACAACCCGCGTGTTTGTCTGATAGTGTATGAGACAATCCGCGTGATTGTCTGATAGTGTATGAGACAACCCACGTGTTTGTCTAGTGGTGTTTGAGGCAACCCACGTGTTTGTCTGATAGTGTATGAGACAACCCAAGCGTTTGTCTGATAGTGTATGAGACAACCCACGTGTTTGTCTAGAGGTGTATGAGGCAACCCGCGTGTTTGTCTGATAGTGTATGAGACAACCCACATGTTTGTCTGATAGTGTATAAGACAACCCACGTGTTTGTCTAGTGGTGTATGAGACAACCCACGTGTTTGTCTGATAGTGTATGAGACAACCCACGTGTCTGTCTGATAGTGTATGAGACAACCCGCGTGTTTGTCTGATAGTGTATGAGACAATCCGCGTGTTTGTCTGATAGTGTATGAGACAACCCACGTGTTTGTCTGATAGTGTATGAGACAACCCACGTGTTTGTCTGATATTGTATGTGACAACCCGCGTGTTTGTCTGATAGTGTATGAGACAACCCACGTGTTTGTCTAGTGGTGTATGAGGCAACCAACGTGTTTGTCTGATAGTGTATGAGACAACCCACGTGTTTGTCTAGTGGTGTATGAGGCAACCAACGTGTTTGTCTGATAGTGTATGAGACAACCCACGCGTTTGTCTGATAGTGTATGAGACAACCCGCGTGTTTGTCTAGAGGTGTATGAGACAACACTCGTGTCTGTCTGGTTGTGTATGAGAATCTCACATGTTTGTCCGGTGGTGTATGAGAGAACCCACGTGTCTGTCTAATGGTGTATAAGACAAGCCATGCATCTGTCTGATGGTGTATGAGACGGGCCACGTGTCTGGTGGTGTATGAAACAACACACGTTTTCGTCTGGCGGTGTATGAGACAACCCACGTGTTTGTCTAGAGGTGTATGAGACAACCCACGTGTTTGTCTAGAGATGTATGAGACAACACACGTGTTTGGTGGTGTATGAGACAACCCACGTGTTTGTCTAGAGATGTATGAGACAACACACGTGTTTGGTGGTGTATGAGATAACCCACGTGTCTTTCTGGTGGTGTATGAGACAACCCGTGTATCTTGTGGTGTATGAGACAACCCGTGTATCTTGTGGTGTATGAGACAACCCGTGTATCTTGTGGTGTATGAGACAACCCACGTGTCTGTCTGGAGGTGTATGAGACAACACGTGTCTATGTTGTGTATGAGACAACCCACATGTCTGTCTGGAGGTGTATGAGACAACCCACGTGTTTGGTGGTGTATGGGATAACCCACATGTCTGTCTGGAGGTGTATGCGACAACCCACGTGTTTGGTGGTGTATGGGATAACCCACATGTCTGTCTGGAGGTGTATGCGACAACCCACGTGTTTGGTGGTGTATGGGATAACCCACGTGTCTGTCTGGAGGTGTATGCGACAACCCACGTGTTTGGTGGTGTATGGGATAACCCACGTGTCTGTCTGGAGGTGTATGCGACAACCCACGTGTTTGGTGGTGTATGGGATAACCCACGTGTCTGTCTGGAGGTGTATGCGACAACCCACGTGTTTGGTGGTGTATGGGATAACCCACGTGTCTGTCTGGAGGTGTATGAGACAACCCACGTGTTTGGTGGTGTATGGGATAACCCACATGTCTGTCTGAAGGTGGATGCGACAACCCACGTGTTTGGTGGTGTATGGGATAACCCACGTGTCTGTCTGGAGGTGTATGAGACAACCAACGTGTTTGGTGGTGTATGGGATAACCCACGTGTCTGTCTGGAGGTGTATGAGACAACCAACGTGTTTGGTGGTGTATGAGACAACCCACTGTTTGTCAGGTGACGTATGAGACTGTTCTCTCTTGCAGACAGCGGCCAGCGCGAGGAGATCCAGGCTGCAATCCAAGACTGGATGAGATACACCTGCCTCACCTTCCGACCGGCCACCACCAGGGACAGGAACAGGATCCGCTTCCAGAACGGCGGCGGGTAGATTGATTGTCAACATGATATGCTGAGAATATATCGCAATGTATAAGTGATCAAGTACAAATGTGAAAGTGTCTTCTGTCTGCTGTTTCTTTTATCATGAAAGAAACCGTTAGATCATAGCGATATCACTAAACACAAACAACCATGCCTGTCACTACTCGAAATTTAAATATTTGTCTTGGAATTCATTCACCTACCGAAGGAGTGAGTTGGGTTTAACGCCGTTTTTAACAGTATTCCAGTTCTGACAAACCTAGAAACATAATCGCGGCGAACCGGGATTCGAATCCACAATCAGAGGCAAATGCTATTTTAATTCACCACAGTTTCCTGTATTCTTAACTTGGGGAACACTTTTTGTGATATATTTATAAACGACTGCTATCTGTTCATAAAAAATGAAAATGTGTTCAAAGTATGTTAAATGATTTCAGTTGTCAGTTGTTCTTCCTCGCTTGTAAGCAACATAAAGGCACATCCATAATTTTGGTTGCAGTTGTTTTTCCAATGTCGGCATGATCGGCGGCACCCAGACAGTAGGACTCGCCTGGAACTGTAGAGTGGTAAGTTGGTGTGTTCGATCAGACAATGCAGCTGTCTTCACTTCTGGCACAAGTGACCTCCCTTCATTCTTAATTCAGTCGGACCGCCTCCGTGGTCTAGAGCGTCCGCCCGGAGAGCGGAAGGTCCGGGGTTCGATCCCCGGCCGCGTCATAAAAGACGTTAAAAGATGGTACTTGTTGTTACCCTGTAAAACACCGGCTAAAACAAGGACTGGTCGGCTCGGAGTCAGTATACTGTGTCATGGTATCTCAGTGGGCTAGCACTATAAATCGGCATCAGTCCGGACTAGTACAAGCAGCCACACACACATACACGTGCATGCACGTTGCTATGTAAGTGCAATAATCTTGGACGCGACGTTAAACCCCATTTCACTTCACTTAATTCAATCGGGAAGGACTTGTCATGTGCACGGATACGGCTGTATACCCCCGCTGTCCTACTCTCACTATATACCCCCAAAGTTCTACACTCACTGTATACCCCCGATGTCTTACACTCACTGTATATCCCCGATGTCCTACACTCACTGTATACCCCCGATGTCTTACACTCACTGTATACCCCCGATGTCCTACACTCACTGTATATCCCCGATGTCCTACACTCACTGTATATCCCCGATGTCCTACACTCACTGTATATCCCCAATGTCTTACACTCACTGTATATCCCCGATGTCCTACACTCACTGTATATCCCCAATGTCTTACACTCACTGTATATCCCCGATGTCTTACACTCACTGTATATCCCCGATGTCCTACACTCACTGTATACCCCCGCTGTCTTACACTTACTATATATCCCTGATGTCTTTCACACACTATATATCCCCGATGTCCTACACTCACTGTATATCCCCGCTGTCTTACACTCACTGTATATCCCTGATGTCCTACACTCACTATATATCCCCGATGTCTTTCACACACTATATGTCCCTGATGTCTTACACTCACTGTATATCCCCCGCTGTCTTACACTCACTGTATATCCCTGATGTCCTACACTCACTATATATCCCCGATGTCTTTCACACACTATATGTCCCTGATGTCTTACACTCACTGTATATCCCCGCTGTCTTACACTCACTGTATATCCCTGATGTCTTACACTCACTGTATACCCCAGCTGTCCTACACTCACTGTATATCCCTGATGTCCTACACTCACTGTATATCCCCGCTGTCTTACACTCACTGTATATCCCCGCTGTCTTACACTCACTGTATATCCCCGCTGTCTTACACTCACTGTATATCCCCGATGTCTTACACTCACTGTATATCCCCGCTGTCTTACACTCACTGTATATCTCGATGTCCTACACTCACTGTATATCTCGATGTCCTACACTCACTGTATATCCCCGATGTCTTACACTCACTGTATATCCCTGATGTCTTACACTCACTGTATATCCCCGCTGTCCTACACTCACTGTATATCCCTGATGTCTTACACTTACTGTATATCTCGATGTCCTACACTCACTGTATATCTCGATGTCCTACACTCACTGTATATCCCTGATGTCTTACACTCACTGTATATCTCGATGTCCTACACTCACTGTATATCCCCGATGTCTTACACTCACTGTATATCCCTGATGTCTTACACTCACTGTATATCCCCGCTGTCCTACACTCACTGTATATCCCTGATGTCTTACACTCACTGTATATCTCGATGTCTTACACTCACTGTATATCCCCGCTGTCTTACACTCACTGTATATCCCTGATGTCTTACACTCACTGTATATCCCCGCTGTCCTACACTCACTGTATACCCCCGCTGTCCTACACTCACTGTATATCCCTGATGTCTTACACTCACTGTATATCCCCGCTGTCCTACACTCACTGTATATCCCTGATGTCTTACACTCACTGTATATCTCGATGTCTTACACTCACTGTATATCCCCGCTGTCTTACACTCACTGTATATCCCTGATGTCTTACACTCACTGTATATCCCCGCTGTCTTACACTCACTGTATATCTCGATGTCCTACACTCACTGTATATCCCTGATGTCTTACACTCACTGTATATCTCGATGTCTTACACTCACTGTATATCCCTGATGTCTTACACTCACTGTATATCTCGATGTCCTACACTCACTGTATATCCCTGATGTCTTACACTCACTGTATATCTCGATGTCTTACACTCACTGTATATCCCCGCTGTCTTACACTCACTGTATATCCCCGCTGTCTTACACTCACTGTATATCCCTGATGTCTTACACTCACTGTATATCTCGATGTCTTACACTCACTGTATATCCCCGCTGTCCTACACTCACTGTATACCCCCGCTGTCCTACACTCACTGTATATCCCTGATGTCTTACACTCACTGTATATCCCCGCTGTCCTACACTCACTGTATATCCCTGATGTCTTACACTCACTGTATATCCCCGCTGTCCTACACTCACTGTATACCCCCGCTGTCCTACACTCACTGTATACCCCCGCTGTCTTACACTCACTGTATATCCCTGATGCCTTACACTCACTGTATATCCCCGCTGTCCTACACTCACTGTATATCCCCGATGTCTTACACTCACTGTATATCCCCGCTGTCTTACACTCACTGTATATCCCTGATGTCTTACACTCACTGTATATCCCTGATGCCTTACACTCACTGTATATCCCCGATGTCTTACACTCACTGTATATCCCCGCTGTCCTACACTCACTGTATACCCCCGAAGTCTTACACTCACTGTATATCCCTGATGCCTTACACTCACTGTATATCTCGATGTCTTACACTCACTGTATATCCCCGCTGTCCTACACTCACTGTATATCCCCGCTGTCCTACACTCACTGTATATCCCCGATGTCTTACACTCACTGTATACCCCCGGTGTCTTACACACACTATATATCCCCGATGTCTTACACTCACTGTATATCCCCGATGTCTTACACTCACTGTATATCCCCGATGTCTTACACTCACTGTATATCCCCGATGTCCTACACTCACTGTATATCCCTGATGTCTTACACTCACTGTATATCCCCGATGTCCTACACTCACTGTATATCCCCGATGTCCTACACTCACTGTATATCCCCGATGTCTTACACTCACTGTATATCTCGATGTCTTACACTCACTGTATATCCCCGCTGTCCTACACTCACTGTATATCCCCGATGTCTTACACTCACTGTATATCCCCGATGTCTTACACTCACTGTATATCCCCGCTGCCTTACACTCACTGTATATCCCCGATGTCTTACACTCACTGTATATCCCCGATGTCTTACACTCACTGTATATCCCCGCTGTCCTACACTCACTGTATATCCCCGATGTCTTACACACACTATATATCCCTGATGCCTTACACTCACTGTATATCCCCGATGTCTTACACTCACTGTATACCCCCGATGTCTTACACACACTATATATCCCCGATGTCTTACACTCACTGTATATCCCCGCTGTCTTACACTCACTATATATCCCCGCTGTCTTACACACACTCTATATCCCCGCTGTCTTACACTCACTGTATATCCCCGATGTCTTACACTCACTGTATATCCCCGCTGTCCTACACTCACTGTATATCCCCGATGTCTTACACTCACTGTATATCCCCGATGTCTTACACTCACTGTATATCCCCGCTGTCTTACACTCACTGTATATCCCCGCTGCCTTACACTCACTGTATATCCCCGATGTCTTACACTCACTGTATATCCCCGATGTCTTACACTCACTGTATATCCCCGCTGTCCTACACTCACTGTATATCCCCGATGTCTTACACACACTATATATCCCTGATGCCTTACACTCACTGTATATCCCCGATGTCTTACACTCACTGTATATCCCCGCTGTCCTACACTCACTGTATATCCCCGCTGCCTTACACTCACTGTATATCCCCGCTGTCTTACACTCACTGTATATCCCTGATGTCTTACACTCACTGTATATCCCTGATGCCTTACACTCACTGTATATCCCCGCTGTCTTACACTCACTGTATATCCCCGATGTCTTACACTCACTGTATACCCCCGCTGTCTTAGACTCACTGTATATCCCCGATGTCTTACACTCACTGTATACCCCCGATGTCTTACACTCACTGTATATCCCCGCTGTCCTACACTCACTGTATATCCCCGCTGCCTTACACTCACTGTATATCCCCGCTGTCTTACACTCACTGTATATCCCTGATGTCTTACACTCACTGTATATCCCCGCTGTCTTACACTCACTGTATATCCCCGATGTCTTACACTCACTATATATCCCCAATGTCTTACACTCACTGTATATCCCCAATGTCTTACACTCACTGTATATCCCCGATGTCTTACACTCACTGTATACCCCCGATGTCTTACACTCACTATATATCCCCAATGTCTTACACTCACTGTATACCCCCGCTGTCCTACACTCACTGTATACCCCCGATGTCTTACACTCACTGTATACCCCCGATGTCTTACACTCACTGTATATCCCCGATGTCTTACACTCACTGTATATCCCTGATGTCTTACACTCACTATATACCCCGATGTCTTACACTCACTGTATATCCCTGATGTCCTACACTCACTATTTATCCCCGATGTCTTTCACACACTATATATCCCTGATGCCTTACACTCACTATATATCCCTGATGTCTTACACACACTATATATCCCTGATGTCTTACACTCACTATATATCCCCGATGTCTTACACTCACTGTATACCCCTGATGTCTTACACTCACTATATATCCCCGATGTCTTACACTCACTGTATACCCCTGATGTCTTACACACACTATATATCCCTGATGTCTTACACTCACTATATATCCCCGATGTCTTACACTCACTGTATATCCCTGATGTCTTACACTCACTATATACCCCGATGTCTTACACTCACTGTATACCCCGATGTCTTACACTCACTGTATATCCCTGATGCCTTACACTCACTGTATATCCCCGATGTCTTACACTCACTGTATATCCCTGATGTCCTACACTCACTATTTATCCCCGATGTCTTTCACACACTATATATCCCCGATGTCTTACACTCACTGTATATCCCCGATGTCTTACACTCACTGTATACCCCTGATGTCTTACACTCACTGTATACCCCTGATGTCTTACACTCACTATATATCCCCAATGTCTTACACTCACTGTATATCCCCGCTGTCTTACACTCACTGTATATCCCTGATGTCTTACACTCACTGTATATCCCTGATGTCTTACACTCACTGTATATCCCTGATGTCTTACACTCACTGTATATCCCCGATGTCTTACACTCACTGTATACCCCTGATGTCTTACACTCACTGTATACCCCGATGTCTTACACTCACTGTATATCCCTGATGTCTTACACTCACTGTATATCCCCGATGTCTTACACTCACTGTATATCCCTGATGTCCTACACTCACTATATATCCCCGATGTCTTTCACACACTATATACCCCCGATGTCTTACACTCACTGTATATCCCCGATGTCCTACACTTACTATATACCCCGATGTTCTACACTCACTATATACCCCAATGTCCTACACTTACTATATACCCCAATGTTCTACACTCACTATATACCCCCGCTGTCCTACACTCACTATATACCCCCGATGTCCTCCACTGACTATGTACCGCCGATGTCCTACACTCACTATATACCCCAATGTCCTCCACTGACTATGTACCGCCGATGTCCTACACTCACTATATACCCCCGATGTCCTACACTCACTATATATCCCTGATGTCCTACACTCACTATATACCCCCGATGTCCTACACTCACTATATACCCCCGATGTCCTACACTCACTATGTATCCCTGATGTCCTACACTCACTATGTACCGCCGATGTCCTACACACACTATATACCCCCAATGTCCTACACTCACTATATACCCCCAATGTCCTAACTCACTATATACCCCCAATGTCCTACACTCACTATATACCCGCGATGTCCAACACTTACTATATACCCTGATGTCCTAACTCACTATTTAGCCCCGATGTCCTAACTCACTATATAGCCCCGATGTCTAGACTAACATTTAGTCTGTGAAATGAACATATCGTACATAAAAAAACAGTTGTTCAGTTATCTTAATAAAAATATAATAAAAAGGAGCCCAGTGACTCTCTTCAGATACTGCAGTCATCTAGACTTGCCAAACATTATAGACTTGCATGGGCTATTTTTGATATATATTTGTATCAGGGTCTGTAAGACAGACTACCCCGATGTCCTACACTAACTATATACCCCCGATGTCCTACACTAACTGTATACCCCGATGTCTTACACTCACTGTATACCCCTGATGTCTTTCACACACTATATACCCCCGCTGTCTTACACTCACTGTATACCCCCGATGTCTTACACTCACTGTATATCCCCGATGTCCTACACTCACTGTATATCCCCGCTGTCTTACACTCACTGTATATCCCTGATGCCTTACACTCACTGTATACCCCTGATGTCTTACACTCACTGTATATCCCTGATGCCTTACACTCACTGTATATCCCCGCTGTCCTACACTCACTGTATATCCCCGATGTCTTACACTCACTGTATATCCCTGATGCCTTACACTCACTGTATATCCCCGCTGTCCTACACTCACTGTATATCCCCGCTGTCTTACACTCACTATATACCCCCGATGTCTTACACTCACTGTATATCCCCGATGTCCTACACTCACTGTATATCCCCGCTGTCTTACACTCACTGTATATCCCTGTTGTCCTACACTCACTGTATATCCCTGTTGTCCTACACTCACTGTATATCCCCGCTGTCTTACACTCACTGTATATCCCCGATGTCTTACACTCACTGTATATCCCCGATGTCTTACACTCACTGTATATCCCCGATGTCTTACACTCACTGTATATCCCCGATGTCTTACACTCACTGTATATCCCTGATGTCTTACACTCACTGTATATCCCTGATGTCTTACACTCACTGTATATCCCTGATGTCTTACACTCACTGTATATCCCTGATGTCTTACACTCACTATATACCCCCGATGTCTTACACTCACTGTATATCCCCGATGTCTTACACTCACTGTATATCCCCGATGTCTCACACTCACTGTATATCCCCGATGTCTTACACTCACTGTATATCCCTGATGTCTTACACTCACTGTATATCCCTGATGTCTTACACTCACTGTATATCCCTGATGTCTTACACTCACTGTATATCCCTGATGTCTTACACTCACTGTATATCCCTGATGTCTTACACTCACTGTATATCCCCGATGTCTTACACTCACTGTATATCCCTGATGTCTTACACTCACTGTATATCCCTGATGGCTTACACTCACTGTATATCCCCGCTGTCTTACACTCACTGTATATCCCCGCTGTCTTACACTCACTGTATACCCCCGATGTCCTACACTCACTGTATATCCCCGATGTCCTACACTCACTGTATATCCCCGATGTCCTACACTTACTATATACCCCGATGTTCTACACTCACTATATACCCCAATGTCCTACACTTACTATATACCCCGATGTCCTACACTCACTATATACCCCCGATGTCCTCCACTGACTATGTACCGCCGATGTCCTACACTCACTATATACCCCCGATGTCCTACACTCACTATATATCCCTGATGTCCTACACTCACTATGTACCGCCGATGTCCTACACACACTATATACCCTCAATGTCCTACACTCACTATATACCCCCAATGTCCTAACTCACTATATACCCCCAATGTCCTACACTCACTATATACCCGCGATGTCCAACACTTACTATATACCCCGATGTCATAACTCACTATTTAGCCCCGATGTCCTAACTCACTATATAGCCCCGATGTCCTACACTCACTATATATCCCCGATGTCCTACACTAATTGTATACCCCCGATGTCCTACATTCTCTGTATACCCCCGCTGTCCTAACTCACTATATACCCCCAATGTCCTACACTCACTATATACCCGCGATGTCCAACACTTACTATATACCCCGATGTCATAACTCACTATTTAGCCCCGATGTCCTAACTCACTATATAGCCCCGATGTCCTACACTCACTATATATCCCCGATGTCCTACACTAATTGTATACCCCCGATGTCCTACATTCTCTTTATACCCCCGCTGTCCTAACTCACTATATACCCCCAATGTCCTACACTCACTATATACCCACGATGTCCAACACTGACTATATACCCCGATGTCCTACACTGACTATATACCCCCTCACCATATACCCCCGATGTCCTACCTGACTATATATCCCCGATGTCCTACACTTACTATATACCCCCGATGTCCTACACTCACTGTATACCCCCGATGTCCAACACTCACTATATACCCCCGATGTCCTACCTGACTATATACCCCCGATGTCCAACATTCACTATATACCCCCGATGTCCTACCTGACTATATATCCCCGATGTCCACCTGACTATATATCCCCGATGTCCTACACTTACTATATACCCCCAAATACCAACACATCCCTCAAGTTTGTTTGACACTGTCTTTTGTACTGCATGTTAAAGAGCTTTCACCATGTCAAAATGTCTTGATTCCAGAAAAGCATTATCACCCATGAAGTGGGTCACGCGGTGGGTTTCCACCACGAGCAAACCCGCCCTGACCGTGACCAGTACGTGACTATCAACTACGCCAACATCCCGACCGGAGTCAAATACAATTTCCAGCGTTACACAACCAACGTCATCGACGACCGTGGTGTGCCGTATGACTACTACAGCATCATGCACTACGGTGGCAAGGTACGTCAAGACTCACCTGGATTAGACCATGCACATTGTCTTGCCCAACAGAAAGCCGTTACATTATCTTTTATCATATCTCCAGATCCAATATGTATCCAGCAGTTGAGGGAAATAAATTTCTATGCGAGAAAATAAATCCCTATTACGCCACGAAGAAGACTTCACGCCCTTTTCGAGTCAATGAAAGTCACTCGACATAGCCCACATTAACCTCAGCTCAATCAAACAGCTGTTTCTATCAATTTTGAATTTGTTCTAATTCTTTAACAATGGCAGATTATAACTTGTCGGTAGCGGCATTGTCTGGTACTGCAGAAACTACTTGCACTATCTTGTACCGTGGGAACGTGCGACATTGTGTTGTACCGTGGGAACGTGCGACATTGTCTTGTACCGTGGGAACGTGCGACATTGTGTTGCACCGTGGGAACGTGCGACATTGTCTTGTACCATGGGGACGTGCGACATTGTGTTGTACCATGGGGACGTGCGACATTGTGTTGTACCGACGGAACGTGCGACATTGTGTTGTACCGTGGGAACGTGCGACATTGTGTTGTACCGTGGGAACGTGCGACATTGTCTTGTACCGTGGGAACGTGCGACATTGTGTTGTACCGTGGGAACGTGCGACATTGTCTTGTACCGTGGGAACGTGCGACATTGTGCTGTGCCGTAGAAACTAGTGAAATTGTATTTTCCCAAGACAGTAGTTACTTTGGGCGTAACGCAAGTTTTGGCCTGGTCTATGTTTCATGTGGTTATGAATCCATGTCGTCATTGTGTACCTATGATACCATGCTCCATTTTGTATTTACATAACCTAGTTAACTCTTTCAAGAAAGTATTTGGGAAATCATTACTTTTCAGTATGTTTAAAATTGAATATTGACTAAGGAGAAAATACATTTTCTGTACGTAAATATCTTAGTCCTACTGTCAGTATTTACAACTGGGGGGGGGGAGGTCCGGACTTATGCCTGGCCATTGCATTATTGTGATGTTTTGCTGCTGGAGGTAGACAGTTACGATACGTTCTCTGTGCGCACGAGCGTTATCGTCTTGGAAGACAACTACGTGGACCAGCATGGCACGCAAACACTACAGTTAAGACGCTAGTTTAGCTGCGTGCAGGCGATTTCTAAACATTGTTAAGTAACTTGATGTTTGTCCTAAATGTGAGTGAGTGAGTGAGTGAGTATTGTTTTACGCCGCTTTTAGCAATATTCCAGCAATATCACGTACCAGAAATGGGCTTCTCACAATGTATCCATGTCGGGAATCGAACCCGGGTCTTCGGCGTGACGAGCGAACGCTTTAACCACTAGGCTACCCGACCGCCCCTCCTAAATGTGACTGTGCTTGTCGTCGGAGGCGACTAACTGGATCGGGTGATGCATGTCATCATATCCCAATTGCGTGGATCGATGCTGGAATATCTTGCTGAGTGCGGCGTTAAACAAGAAACAACAAAAAGTAACGTGACTCCGGTGGCATGGCCCAAGTGAACAGCTGTTGTGGATCGATTTCTTAAAGCCTGGTTTCCGATTAATTCTATTCTGTGTTGTTGAAACTTGTTCCAAAGTCTGGCAATCACCATCTTCCCGAGGCAAGTGAGTTAACTGACTAAAAAAAGTCCAGTTTCCACCCTTGCCGAACTAGGCTTGTATTATGGAGGGCTAACGAGTCTATGCATAGTCTATGCATAGTCAAATCAAAATCGCGCACCGAAATCGAAATCCGATTTGTAAAATGTCGTGCAGATTTCGGTCGATTGCAGGATTTGCAAAGCATGTGCACCGCCAACTCGTTGTCAACAGATATTTTCCAAGTCTTTTCATGTTTTTAATCAAGGTGCTCACGTGATTTGATGCACTTCGCTATGTAAGACCCGTTTTATCACAATATAGATCTTGATTATCAATCAGATCGTTTTGACTCGGCGCCACCATTTTGTTTGAAACAAATGCAAGTGATACGAGAGGTGAAATCTGATTGGTCCATAGGAGAGGCTTAGAAGGAACATAACTCGTAATAACCACTGGTGGCGCTACGGTCGAGCCCAGGAATTCCAGCCTAGTTCGGCAAGGGTGGAAACTGGACTTTTATAGTCAGTTAACTCCCTTGCCTCGGGAAGATGGGCAATCACAGAGACAGATACATTGGACATATTGGCCACCGCTGAGTTCTACCAGCGTGAAGTAAACCAATAGCCCTTGGGCGTCCAGGACAGTTTGGCCACCACTGAGTTCTACAAGCGTGAAGAAGCAAACCAATAGCCCTTGGGCTTCCAGGACAGTTTGGCCACCGCTGAGTTCTACAAGCGTGAAGCAAACCAATTGGCTTCCAGGACAGTTTGGCCACCGCTGAATTCTACCAGCGTGAAGAAGCAAACCAGTAGCCCTTGGGCTTCCAGGACAGTTTGGCCACCGCTGAGTTCTACAAGCGTTAAGCAAACCAATAGCCCTTGGGCGTCCAGGACAGTTTGGCCACCACTGAGTTCTACAAGCGTTAAGCAAACCAATAGCCCTTGGGCTTCCAGGACAGTTTGGCCACCGCTGAGTTCTACAAGCGTGAAGCAAACCAATAGCCCTTGGGCTTCCAGGACAGTTTGGCCACCGCTGAGTTCTACCAGCGTTAAGCAAACCAATAGCCCTTAGGCGTCCAGGACAGTTTGGCCACCGCTGAGTTCTACAAGTGTGACGCAAACCAATAGCTCTTGGGCGTCCAGGACATTTTGGACGACGCATTCCAAATCTTATCACAAAGCCTGCATTAAAACAAAAGTAAGGAGCTTACGTGCCACAGTGGAAAATACCGTCGGGTGTGTTGTGGCGTTGGCTTTGGTTGCAACAGCTCTCTATCTCTGGTAGCCATTTCCAAAACTGACTTTTCTCCTGACGACCGATCATAACCTTTAAAGTTCATGATCCCCCTACTTTGCTCGGACAGTATATAAGTCCTTGTGTCATGTACTTTGTTTGTGTCAGCTGTGTCTTTGTGAACAGGCGGTCTGTAAATAATAAGTTTGGACCAGGGTATTTAATAAGATAGTACCCCAGCAACACGTCGCTTGTAGTGCTGAAGTTGATGTAGCTGTGGGAAATAATGTCCACACCTTTGTTGATATTGTGGACAACCACAGCCGCGATGTGCATTGTATCATAGCGTATTCGTGTTGTGGTTTTTATTGTATTATTTGATCATTTTTTAATACTTGTTTTTGTTTCTTTTATTTGTTGCCAGGCGGTGTCAGTTTCAGAACGTGATATTTGCACATTGCGTGCTAATCGATATTTAAGAAATAGAAGCTCTTGGTTCACTTTTCACAGTCACTGTAACGTTTTTATAATGTGTAAGTAACTTCTTGGTCCTGCGGAATCCTTATTGACAAGTTGATTGACTTATGATCTGATACCGGCACTTGTCACTGCGGAGCATTGCGGAGCTGGGATTTTGAATGGAGACGTCCATATATTTTTTTTACAATGAACCTAAATATTTTTTTAAAACAGCGCCACCTTACAAGCTATTAATTTAACTATAATGTTGACTTAGCTCTTGGGATACAGCATCCGGTTTTTTGCAGGCTTTTTCTCAGAATGGCGGCTACACTATCATCACGAAGCAGAGCAAGTACCAGAACGTCATCGGCAGACAACAAGGCCTAAGCTTCAATGACATCAAGCTGGCCAATAAGATGTACAACTGTGGAGGTGAGACCCTCTCGCCAGAGATACTTCACAGAGAAACATCACACCTGTAGCTGCAGACCACATTTGATCTGTATCCTCTCCAGGCTTAATTCAAAAGAAACCATTGTTCTGTACCCTTTGTCTGTAGTACCCATGTGTGCATTGTCAGTGTCTGTAGTTGTGTTGGGATGTTGACAGGACACTGTAACAAGCAAGACAGCGAGTGTCCGGGAAGTGGATTTGTGGGTAAAGATTGTAAGTGCTGGTGTCCCGGATCTCCCTACAGTATATGCAGTGGTGAAAGTACTGGAACCGGAACCGGCACTGGCACAGGGACTGGAACCGGAACCGGAACCGGAACTGGCACAGGGACTGGAACCGGAACTGGAACTGGAACCGGAACTGGAACAGGGACTGGAACCGGAACTGGAACTGGAACTGGAACTGGCACAGGGACTGGAACCAGAGGTACATATCACTTCTTGGTTATGCTGTCGAGTCATAGTGTGATATTAACGAAACACTATTTTATGATATGGTAGTAATGATATTCTTACTGACCCACCATTTATATTATCGGAGAGGTGTTGGGTTGATCTTATTACCGTAACATTAACTCGGATATACTGACATTATCGTGACATTAACTCGGGTATACCGACGTTATCGTGACATTAACTCGGGTATACTGACGTTACCGTGACATTAACTCGGGTACACTCACAGTATCGAGACATTAACTCGGGTATACTGACGTAACCGTGACATTAACTCGGGTACACTCACAGTACCGTGACATTAACTCGGGTATACTGACGTTACCGTGACATTAACTCGGGTACACTCACAGTACCGTGACATTAACTCGGGTATACTGACGTTACCGTGACATTAACTCGGGTATACTGACGTTACCGTGACATTAACTCGGGTATACTGACGTTACCGTGACATTAACTCGGGTACACTCACAGTACCGTGACATTAACTCGGGTATACTGACGTTACCGTGACATTAACTCGGGTACACTCATAGTATCGTGACATTAACTCGGGTATACTGACGTTACCGTGACATTAACTCGGGTATACTGAGGTTATCGCGACATTGACTCGGGTGCACGGACGTTATCATGACATTGAAACGGTATATTGACGTTATCGTGATATTGACACAGGTGTGCGGACGTTATCATGACATTGAAACGGGTCTAGTGACGTTATCGTGACACTGACGGTTGACGGACGTTATCGTGACATTGAAACGGGTCTACTGACCTTTTCATGACATTGACTCCGATGTACGTACATGTTTGGTGTGGTGCTTCAAGTACTGTGCCAGTACGAGGTGATATATTGACATGGCAGTCACGAAGAATTAGGTCCGTAGGAGGGCAACCAGGTGGCTTGCATTGTCTCAGAGATTCGGGGAACAATCAGTGATTATTTTACGTTTGCATTAAAAGTGTTGAACATCCCCACAAGTAGAATATTTGCGGACTCACTGAGATGGATTCTGTTTTGCTTCAGGATCGTGTCGAGACAGAAACAATCAGTGTGCGGCGTGGGCCCTGCGCGGGGAGTGCCGCAACAACCCCGCCTATATGCTGGTGTACTGCAAGCGATCCTGCAACCGGTGTGGCCGGGGAGGCGGAGGTGGGGGCGACGTTAAATATAAAGCACATAATGAAAACACATAATGTTTATCTCCTTAAATGAATAGCCAGAAATCTGTCAGGCATTTATAACTGAGCTTGGTATCAGAAGTAGGTATATCCAAAATGACAACAAATAGGTGCTGACAAGTGTCACATTGACTGTTCAGGATCATCGTTATGTCGTGACCTGAATCGTTCATGCAACTACTGGTGGAGGAGCGGCTACTGCAACAACTACACCTACCGCACGTACATGGCCACTAACTGCCGGGCGTCTTGCAACCATTGCTCATCTAGAAGTAGGTATCATATACTCGAGCATGCACATAGACTACAGACTGTACCAATGAACATCAGGGATATAGAATAGGTCTTCACCAACCCATGCTTGCCGCAAGAGGCAACTATGCTTGTCATAAGAGGCGACTAATGGGAGCGGGTGGTCAGGCTCGCTGACTTGACTTGTTGATGCATGACATCTTGTCCCATTTGCGTGGATCGATGCTTATAATGTCAATCACTGATCCAGACTCATTAATTACACACCGTCGTCATATAGCTACATGGAATATTGCTGAGTGCGGTGTTAAACAAGAAAACAAACAAAACGACTACAGATTGTGCATGAGACTGTTCACAAAGACCCAGCTGCATGCTTGTCATCATGTCAGGTTATGGTTCCCCTGCAATATGGTCAACTGGTGTTGTGTCAAGGCACAGAAGGAGGGCATATTTGTATTACGCGTTTTTGCGATGCGTGATCTGTAAATTACTTAACTGGTCCAACTTATATTTCTCAATATATACACATGCACAAAAATTAAGCGCCACCAAATTCAAAGTCTCTTGATTTCACGTGTGGGAATCAGAAATACGAAATATGATGATATATGACTAAATTAGGCTTCCATAGTTTCATGAACCCAAATTTGTTCAGATACCACAAGGAAAGCGTGCTTTACGTGTTGCTGCAGTCCCCCTACCCTATAAATAGTGAAATTCAAGTTCCAGTCCCGTGGTTGCATTTTGCTCCTGTGTGAGATTCCCCTTCCAATAGAGGTTGAAAATCAGCCATGGTGAGGAGAAAGTTAACGAACGATGAAAGATGGCAAGTGATAGGCATGAAAAAGCTGGCACAAAAGGGTCATCATCACAGTGTCAAACCAATGATGTCAATGACAGGCATAGGTCTGGTAGGCCAAGAAAGACCTTTAACAGAGAGGATAGACGTCTTTTCAGGATAGTTAGACGAAATCCATTTGCCACTTCAACAGATTTAAGACTGCGTCGCCTCAGAGCGGCTGGTTATAACGCCAGAAGACCAGTAAAACGTCCTCAACTGACTGAGAGGCACATGCGGAATCGTCTGATATGGTGCCGTGCCCGTAGTCGATGGAACTTGGCTAACTGGAGAAGGATCCATTGGTCTGACGAGTGTCGAATGCTGCTACAAACGGTTGGGGCTGTCATGATATTGGGTTGTGTTTCCTTCGGCTGCAAACTTCCGCTGGTGACAATTCGTGGAAACCTGAATAGCCAACAATACCAAGATGCCGTTCTTCGTCCAGTGGTCGTCCCTCATTTTGACAACCATCCTCTTCAGACAAGACCTGTATACATGGACGACAATGCTAGACCACACAGATCTCGAGCATTTTTGGCTTATTTGCGTCAAGAAGCTATTGCCACTCTTCCTTGGCCGGCCTGTAGTCCTGATCTTAATCCGATTGAGCATCTCTGGGACATTCTTGGCCGGAAAATAAGACATCGTGATCCCCCAGTTCAAAATCTCGCTGGACTTGAAGCCGCACTTCATGAAGAATGGATCCGTTTGCCTCAGAGAAGCATTCAACGAGTTGTAATGAGTATGAGGCGTAGGGTTGAAGCTGTGGTCAATGTCCGTGGATCATACGCACGTTACTGACGTTTCTGTCTGGCAATAGACTCCCTAGGGTGTCTATGTGACACCTAATATGATCTACTGATATCATGACAGTTACATGACAAAAAAAGTTTTTCAATGTTTTCTAATCCTTCAATTTCTGGTCTTCGGTAAAATTCCTTTCTGCTCATATTCTTTTGGAACACAAGAGTTGGGACAACTTTTGCATCACATGAGGTTTACATATACGGCTTATAACAATCGTACATCTCGTTATAACAGTCATCATTAAGTGCCAAAAGTAACAGCTCACAAATATGGTGGGTGGCGCTTAACTTTTGTGCATGTGTATAGAAATGTAATGCTCTTAGAAAGAACATGAAAATATCTCATTTTTTTAATGTATGCATTGAGACCAATTTGCAGATTTGTTTTTAGACCACTAAAGCTTACAGCATACACTGCCCGCCGTCTGTCTGTTCAAAGACCCTTATTTGACATCTGTAGGATATATATATATGCTATGTACTATCTATAGCTAGATTCTTAACTACCAGGGGCTCATTTATTTGGGCGCTCAATTGTCAAACTTTACGCGCGACTTTTTTCAAGTCTGCAATGTCCATGGTGTTTAATCAAATCCAGTATTGACCTTGACCAAGAAGTGAGGGTGACCTGAACGTCACACGCAGGGGAAAGATGGTGGAGGCGCGCAGCCTCTTGGGCGGGCGGTCTGCGCGGGTAGAGTGCAGGTCAACATGTATGGTTACGTTATATGATAGGAACTGTATGTATATTGTAACCTCAAACTGTTCTCTAACTTACTTTTGTGGAAAGACAAGAGCCTGCAGTTTCATCGTGGGTGTAAGGAAATGTAATGTGGCATAAACCAGGGTTAAATTCAAACAGAGATTCATGTGGGGCCAACTCATCGCCAGCGTCGTCTCACTTTGAGGCGTCAGTTTTACTGTTTCTAGAATGACCAGTTGTTTAGAACAGATAAAGCTATCATGTCGTTACCATTAACTGAAAAAAACAAAACAATTTAGAAACCATTGATCGCCTCTAAGGTTTGTATATTTATACTGACATAAATGTGATTTACAAGGCGCATGCAGATACTAGTCCATGATCAGAGAAAAGATGATTATCTTTGTCTGCCTTTCATATGAAAAGCAATTAAACCATTGTGAACGTTTCAGCCAACACGTCATCAGGGTCAAGGACCTCCAGCAGCGTGACGTGCAGGGACGAAAACTACCAGTGCGCAGCCTGGGCCAGGACAGGCGAGTGTAGACGCAACCCCGTCTACATGTACCTGTCCTGCAGGGCTTCGTGCGGGCGGTGCACGGTCCACTCGTACTACTCCTACTATGGGCGATAAATGTATCCGTGCCGGCTACCTCTTGAACAATACAATAAACATAAACCCTCATATGTTTTTGTGGGGTTTTTTAACATCCACATAAGAATGCGACATACGGAGCAATTGCTATCAGACAATTAAGAACTGACTTCCACTTTGTATGAGTTCACTGGAGTATGAACCTTCGTACATGATAGCGTGAGGGCCAAACTGCATGAATGTCGGAGTTTGCGTCTGTCATGTAAACCGTCTAAATCCACGGAATACCAGAAAAAAAGAAAGCGTCGGGGTACCTTATCGTGTAACTGTATAGTATAGCTGTATAAAACGAATTCGGCGACAGCGTGCGTGAGAAGGACCACGTGCAGCACGAAGACAACTGACCACCTATCATCGCCCACCCCGAGTGTTACATTTTTAACGAAATCCGATAAACCGGTGGCGTAACTACAACGTAGCACAAAAATGAAGTGCTTATACGGTTTTGAATTGCATTTATGGAATCTCACGATGCCCAATTGCTCTGGTTTCATTTTGGATTTTATTTTATGTATTTAGCACGGGTTCTTGGTGCGGTGAGCATTTTCCTTATTTCAATACTCTGTGCACAAGTCATATGTGTTAAGTGGATAAGCGTTTTAACATTAATCCAGATGCCTGACTCTGAGGACGTCTGTACTGTTACACTACAAGTTTGCAATTTGTCAATGTGGCATCAATATTGGAGGCATAATTACTGGAACTAGATGTTAACTGCTAGGGTTTGATCTGTTATTTGCATAAAGAAATCATTACAATGGTCTAAGCAAGTACATGTACTAACGTTTTTTTCCTAGGCAACACATTAAAGATCGGGTAATCCTATGTCAAACTATGCAGCATTCACATGCTTGCAATTTAAATATCCCTAGATCCGGCTGTGAACTATATCAGTGATTAACTTCATTGGCTAGTTCCGGTTGTGGCCTGTATCAATGATTCACTTCAGTGACTAGTTCCGGTTGTGGCCTACATCAGTGATTTACTTCATTGACTAGTTCCGGTTGTGGCCTGTATCAATGATTTACTTCATTGACTAGTTCCGGTTGTGGCGTGTATCAATGATTTACTTCAGTGACTAGTTCCGGTTGTGGCGTGTATCAATGATTTACTTCATTGACTAGTTCCGGTTGTGGCGTGTATCAATGATTTACTTCATTGACTAGTTCCGGTTGTGGCCTACATCAGTGATTTACTTCATTGACTAGTTCCGGTTGTGGCCTGTATCAATGATTTACTTCATTGACTAGTTCCGGTTGTGGCCTGTATCAATGATTTACTTCATTGACTAGTCCAGGTGTGGACGGTATCAATGATTTACTCCATTGACTAGTTCCGGTTGTGGCCTGTATCAATGATTTACTTCATTGACTAGTCCAGGTGTGGACGGTATCAATGATTTACTTCATTGACTAGTCCAGGTGTGGACGGTATCAATGATTTACTTCATTGACTAGTCCAGGTGTGGACTGTATCTCCCATCAGGACGATGCCCAGGAATACTGCTGACACGACCTTGATAAGCTGTAAACCCAACTGGACTCCAGTTTCCCCTAAGCGTTGCAAACATTAATCAACAAGTGGCATCTGAAATACAATGTAATCAAGGGTGTTTTCTTTATCACAAATCAGTGTCGCTTTGCTTTTGCAAAAGCAGTTTATATATGATGGAGTGTACATCAGTATTATTAAATCTTCTGAAGAAAGAGCGAAGATACGAGTAGTACGTGAAAATCTGTTCTTAAAGGAACATGATATGCCAGAAGCCACTCAAAGGTATTTCTGTCCATTGTTTTAATAAGCGTACACACCTAATGAAATAGTGAGTGATACAACTGACATAATATCCGAACAATGCTACATTGATCAACAAATTCGTTTGCTCCCAGGGTAAACTATATCATGCAAATTCAATGGTACGGTATTTTTTCAATCAAATGTTTGACTTGGTCTGACATGGAAAGTTTAGATACAAAGCAACACGAGTTGTTAAGAACAAGTGGGACGTAAAATCTCCTATTGTAGGAAGTTATATGTCTTGTCCCCAAATAGGATTTGATTTGTCTGTCGAAGGTATAATGATTGCATAATGTATTCAAGCTTCATTAAGAAACGATTGTAGTCATAGCAGGAGAAAGACAAAATCTAGTAATTAAACAATGCGCTTCTGAGCAGAATATCTCTAGGAATCTAACAATAAAATAATCTGGACCATGACCCACTTCCACAAAGCGAATTTATCGCTTAGACGATCATAACTCCCATACTTTAAGATCACTCTGTAGAATGGGGAGACTTGCGACAGATGGACCAGAAACTACTAGCGAGACCTGTTCGTCTTGGTGTAATGCCAGTACATAGAATCAAAAGAATGTATTTGTGGAACAGTTGCGAATAATAACCTTTTCATATAAAATTTACCATATTTGATAGAATAAACAACATAATTTTGATTGTGACATGTGTCAATCGCAGTGTATTTCCTATGTATCCCAAATCAAAATATAGTTGCGGTTATCTTAGTGATGTTTTATTTTGGAATATTGTTTAGCTTAGAAAATCAATGTAGAGGTTTTTAAATCCATGAGACAATTTTTTTTTTTATCTCAGGAATGAATAATGCTGAAAATACCCCAGCTGACGTCGGTTACATGCTTCGGTAGAACACGAGATAAAAACCGCTTTACCACAGGGCCACACCCCACTACACCCCACTACACCCCAACAACCACCGGTACACACAGGTGACGTACGCCGGGCGCTGACTGTGCCCGGCTAGTCACACTCCCGTCTGTGTTTATCATGGTTATATATTGACCCGCCCAGTGCAGCCCAACGCTGAACCTTATACATTATGATGACAAACGGGCGCAACTTGACAATAAGGTTGTTCTGTTGCACCAATACTGTCACATAGATTTTTAATCAATGTACCAATCAATACTATTTAATACCAAGGCATACATGTATATTTGTTTAGTTGATAACGTACGTGACTTGCAGCACGTGCACAATGTATAATACACAGTTGACATTAATTGTTTGCTGGCATTACTTAGAAGTTGACGGATGACAAAGTAGATAATTTATTGATAAAAAACTTCTTTATTTTACTGTCAAGGGCGACGTTTCGGTATAGATCCTTATACCTTGCTTGACAGCGGTAAAAGGATCGACCTGTACCGAAACGTCGCCCGTGACAGTAAAATAAAGAAGTTGTTATCCATACGTTGTTTCTGCTTTGTACATTTGACATGGTTGTTACAACATAGGCCACTTTTATCAGTAGTACAACCACGGAACAGATATAAGTGTCTTATTTGTGTTCATTGATATAATTAGATGCGTGCTAGTGTGAATCAGTGATAATGTGGCTAGGAATATATTCAAGGATGCAAACTGGGTGACAGATAGATCTATGTATAGCTCCTCAGCATGACTCGTCTCTTGATCTACATATGATCATATAGATCTAGGTCTTTCATACGCCCAACAACAAATGTAACAAGACATTTTTTTGCTTTGCAACACGTTAATATGTATCGAACAATACATGAATGTTTGAAATGAACAATGTTTGTTTTTCGTTGACTTCTTAGTACTAGATCTGTCTGTTTTAATACACATGGCTAAACAAAAAATAGATTTGATTCACTGATTGCATTGTTTTTATTCTGATATAATTTAGATTTCTCAAGGCTTATAATGCAGACTCAACTGACAAAACTACAGCCATTTATTTGTTGAAAACAACGTTTACATAAGGCCTGCGGGTTGTGAATGCAAACATTCAATGGTTCGTTTCCAACAGGTATCTGTCACTATGGACACCCATAAACAGCCGGTGCGCGGGAATACTACTGACAAGCATACGTATTTTGGTTAAATTACGTAACTTTGAAATAATAGTTTGCAATATTCATATAGACGATTGACATAACTAAATGCTATATCACAGGCTAGTGCTTTCAACTTTCAATATCCATTCTATCAAATTACCCGTTACTAATTGCAAGTAAAATCAGTTTGAAGGACGATCAGTTATATAGATTGAACTAGTTGGAGGAACACACTGTCATCGGCCTTCACCTTGTAATAGGAAGCGGCAGGGGAGCAGCTACGAGCTTATGTGTATCGTGCATGTGTTTTACTTGTCTACTGTTTGTAGAGCAATGATGAGACATTTGTGAACAATACTTGAGAACAGAAGACAGGACGGATTATTGTGACAAGATGGGAAGAGGTGGGAAGGCAGAAAACGGTACCAGGAAACTTGGTGTTTTCAGTGTCGAGGAAGTAACGAGCCACAACAAGGCGGATGACAAATGGTTGATTATTAACGGAAATATTTACGACATAACAACATGGGCCAAGAAACACCCTGGCGGTGCCAAAGTTATCAGCCATTACGCCGGTGAAGATGCGACGGTGAGTTTTGTAATGCATGAACCCTTCCGGTGTCTCACTTTCATTAACACCTTATGCAATATGGATCGGGACATATTTCCGTAGTTGTGCTTCAGTTATACAAATTACATTTTTAGTATCTCCGGTATTACAATCAATTTTTTCATTCATCAAAATGTACAAGAAATGCTATTATCTGTAGTCTGCAAACTGACAAAAACCAAAATTCCCAAAATTCAATCTACACATGTTTATCCTTAAAGGGGCACTGATCTAACGGACTGGTTGTTGCCTTTGTTATTGTTTTTCCCCCGTGAGTACCCGGATGATACGCAACGCAACTGAGCGTGACCAGAGACTGGGGTACCATCTGCAAGGACAGCTAAATAAACTTGGAGGCTGGAGGCAATATTTGTTTTACGCATTTTTGAACACTGATTGGTTAACTGTGATCTATAAAGATTTCGACAAAGGGCGCATGTTAATTCATTTCTTCAGCCTAAACAAACAGACAAAAAGAACAAGGGAGCTCATCGGATTTCGTCATTTGGAAATACCCCAGATGGTTATAGTTTAATACTAAAAACAGTATCCATGCAGTGAAAGCATTTTCGGATTTCGGCTTGCGTCGATAATACGATTACTACTCCCTTGTTGTCATCCACGTTTTCTGGTATAACCCTACACTTGTGTATTTGTCGTCATTCACTTGATGCTCAGTTAATGAATTTATTACAGGTACAATTAGTGGTAGCACCACTTATATTACCTGACAAAGGTTCCCATTTGGCATTTATTGTGTCTGGGGTAATTATTCAATCTAAATCCAGGTTTGAAGTGAGGTGAAATGTGTGTTATGTAATATGCACGTGGCAGCCCAGCAAGAGATGAATGATCAGTTGATTTACTTTTTTTGTAAATCAACGGATCGTTCCTAGTCATCAAAGGATTAACAGAAAATACGTTGATTGATTAATCACTGTTATCTTGCACAGTGGATATGTCAAGAGTGAGTGTTTACATGTCTAGGTTTACTAAAACAAAGGGAATACACTCATATCATGGCGCGAAGTGCCGATGTAAAAACAACATACTTTGTTCAAAGGGTTAACTGATAATACGTTGATTGATTGATCATTGTTATCTATCACTCAATGGAATTTTTAGGAACCGTGGACGCTATGAAAATAGTTGTCACGTGAGCTTTCTCAGCCGACCATTGAGACTTGACACCTATGTAAAACACCTGAAACAATCCAAGCGATCAGTTGAGAAACGAACACGGGTTATAATATCCCGAAACGATATATATCTTTTAAAATATTTGATTGTTACTGAGACACGTGACATCGAATAAGTTTCTTGGTACAGCTGCAGATGAGTGGGATATTGTTCCTTTGTGTGGATATTCACGGATACATTCCTCGAACAAGGAAGCTGCCTAAAACTTATACACATAAATTTGGTAGGTTGTAATTATGATATCTGCATTTTGTTTTCCTTCATTTGAACCGATTCGTTCTTGTTTCTCTACGTCTTGGTTGGGAAATTCTTCAATGCGCGATAGACGTTGTTGTCACAGGTCTTTTCCTTTGTAAGCGTGTATATATTACCGTCAATTTGTAAAATGTGATTCTCTCAGGCAATTTATAAAATGTGTAAATATTTCAGTCATTTTGACTAAAAAATCTGTCCAGATTGATCAAGACGATCAAAAGGGCCTACAAACATCACAACAGATTATTATGTAGGATTAAAAGCCAAACAACTTAGAAATGTACTTTTCAACGTTACATTTTCAGTCTCTTGGTGATGACATTAAACAAAAATGTTTGGAATTCGTTGTCATAATAATACAGATGGAAATGTTTTTCAGTCACTTTGTAAAATAACTGAATATTTAGACGTTTAATAAATTTGTTACACATTTGACAGTAAAAAAATATACACACTATAAAAAAAGCATATGCTCAGGTGAAATATATACTTGGTGTTGCAAGTCAAAATAGTGTAAACGAAAATCGCAAAATTACCAAGCAAGTGACTTATCAAAACTTCGTCACCATTACCGATGCTACTCACAAAGATACCTACATTTCCTTATTATCTCGAAAACTGTATTTCATTTTGTTGATCAATGTGACCATACGCCCTTATTACTACCCATAAAAGTGACTAATGCGCTTACGAATAGCGCAGCAGAGGTCGCGAACTAGTCTAGATTTCTGCAATACATCCGGGTATTCCCTGGGAAAAAACAATAACAAAGGCAACAACCAGTCCCGGGGAATTGCGTTAGATCAGTGCCCCTTTAACACTATGATATGCTATGGATTTCGCAATATATACAGGTTATGCATTTTGGGAAATATAGCTCAAATAGATTTCAGAATTGTATTTTGGGCTAGAAATGACAGAACTGAAAGTGCATCATCGGGTTGTTTGATTTAGTCACAAGACACCGTCCATGTGTCTTTTCTAAACTTGTATTTAAGCAAGGTGATTTTTGGTGTTTTTTTAAAAATATTTCCGCACAAGAGTCTGTCTTGTTCATTTTCGGATAAATATTTCTCGCTTCTAATGAAAACGAGGAAAAGTAAAATGAGATGAGATCACGTGTGTGATCGCTTTTCACTAAAGATCAATATAATTTGTCTTGTTGATTTATCCTTGTGTAATATGGATTTGGTCACATAAGAAACATACATTGCCACATCCTGAGAATAAAAAAACAGAGAATATCTCATCCCCCTCCCGTCACGAGATAAGAGAAATATGATATTTCACATGACACATGAAATATCCTATTTATTATATATTTTGTGTGTACTTGTCGACCAGAAATTAAATTATTTCATTACAAATGTAAAACATAAATTCTCCCTTCCTAACACACAGGGACAGTTCACCACCCCCTGTATATGCAACTTTAAAAGTATTTTTGTCTTTGCAAAATCGTAAAAAATATATACAGAAGTATAAAAAAATATTTAGGGTCATGAAAATTCTTTGTCATACATTTAGATATGATTATATACCAAATGAACTTTAAAAATTCTTGAAAACTGTTGAAAACGAAAGAATACATGCTGGTCAAGTAACAGACATGTGCTTTGCGAAACAAATGGTTTCGGTTAAAGACTTAAATGAGAAATTTACAGTTTATGACGAAACATTTTCAAGAGATTAACAAACGTCAAGAAATGATATTAACTTCACAAATGACCATCTGTCGTAAAAAGGATGTTGACAGTTTGTGTACAGGCTAGACACTTACGATAAAAGCAGACAATTTGAAGGGAGTTACTCTTGCATGACAATTTTTCCTTCAAAGTGTTATGTTCACTGCAGTGAAATATCTGGTGTTATATTCATTGCACAGAAAATATCACTTTTCTCAACTTCAGAAAACTAAGTCTTTTACACTGACGTATATAATAAATATTGAAGTTAAGTGTTATCTTTCTATTTACTTGACTTTTATTGATATTTTGAACTAATCGTGATCATTCTTTCCTTATAATAATGAAGTGATGGGCCAATTGCTTCCGCGTCCAAACAAACTGAGTGATGTCATCAGGTTTCAGTCAGACGATTGGCTGACCAACATTGATCTCCCTTGAGCAAATATGGAGTGCTTGGAGGGCTACAAATTTTGACATCACAAGTGATCAATAAAATTAGTAATTTTACAATAATATGTACAAGTTGCGTAATTATCGTTCGGGTGAACAAAAAAAGGCTCCCATTCTCAACGCTTTCAAATATCATGCACATGTGTACATGTCTCGGGGGTCCACATTTCTCCAAAAACTGATGAGCTGCTGTCAGATCTGTTGTTACAGATACTGACTGGTGTTGGAATGATAGAGATGGAGTGACTGAAACATCTGTGATGATATCCGAGTTATAATCAAATCTACCCAATTGTTAAAAAAACACAGATCTAGATGTGGTGTGGCATCATCATGGAGTTGATGACATGCAGACCATCTTGCAAACATCATATCTTGTGATTGACCCTCCTTCCAAACTCACTGAGGTATCTGTGACATAATAATTATCAAATGCTTCTTGAATGGCAGATCTGGCATGTACTCTACTCTAATTTTCTAGGATTCTGTACCGGAACCTCAAGCCCACTTGACAGTTAATGACAGAATGCTTGATGTTCATGTGGTTTGGCCCTGACTCTATGACGGTTCATTCTCCAATGAGCTCACAAGTAATTGTGAATCTTTGTTTCTTGATACTCAAAATGTATAGGTTTCTATTTGCATTGACTTCATCATGAGTGTACAGTGACTGATTTGTCTTGTAGGATGCGTGGGTGGCGTTTCACAAAGACAGGGAGTTTGTACAGAAGTACATGAAGGCATTGCAGATTGGAGTCGTCAAGGAATACAAACCCGTGAGTTCAATATGTCCGTATTCAGTCAGTCTCTAGCTGCAGGCTCATCTCAGAAGTACACCTGTAGTACTCCAGGGTACAATACTTGAGGAAATCAAAGGTAGGAATGATTCCAGGGTACAACAGGTCGTTCATGAATGTAGGAATGATTCCAGGGTACAACAGGTCGTTCATGAATGTAGGAATGATTCCAGGGTGCAACAGGTCGTTCATGAATGTAGGAATGAATCCAGGGTACACCAGGTCGTTCATGAATGTAGGAATTAATTCAGGGTAGGTTTTAATGTAATATATGGTTGATTGTGTATCATCATAACCCAGCAATATGCATTGCTGCACATGCAGTCAGCCGATTGTTCGTGGCATTAAACAACATTCACTGTGTCTCTGTATCCTGCAGCCCACCAGCTGGAAGCTGTCTGCAGCCAACTGATTCAGGTCATCAGAGGAAGGTGGCCTGTATTGGGGGAGAGGGTATGGCACGCCAGGATGATGATCAGAGATAGAGTAGTGCCCTGATTTACAGTTACACTGGCTAACAGATTAATCATTGATTTTGAGCACTGTTCATGCATCAAGTGACTTAAGATTAAGCAATGATTGCAATGCTTGTTGCATCCAAAGGAACTTTGATAATAAAGTTAATGAGGTGAACGTTTCAATTATTTCTAAAAATACATTTTGCTATAAATGTTATCAATTGATTTAAAAAAATTGATTTGTTGTACGAAGGGTGTTCATTAAAGATTTCCCCTAAACCACTTAGGGTTATCATATTTGGTTGAAATTTCACATGTGTAATGATACATGTATCTATGGGTTATGTCTGAATTTGCAGCACCGAACTATTAATCTTACCACTTTTACAGGTGTTATGATCGAGTAGGGTGTGACAATGGAGCCAGTAGAATACCGAGCAGTGATTAGGTTTTTATATTTGAAAGGTCGCACACCAAAAGAAACTTTCGATGAAATGAAAGCAACTTATGGGGAAGATGCCCCATCATATGATGTTGTTAAACACTGGCATCGCCAGTTCGAGTGTGGTCGGACATCTGTGGAAACAGCTGCCATTCCTGGTCGCCCCCATTCAGCCATTGATGAAGACACTATCCATCAAGTGGAGACCGCCATTTTGGCAGACCGACGTATAACTGTTCGCCAGTTAGCACAAGATGTCAAGATCATTGTAGGGTCTGTGGAAAAAATCATCCATGACAATTTGAACATGCATAAGGTGTCTGCACGATGGATTCCCAGGTTGCTCACACCTTTCCAAAAGCAGGAACGAGTCAATTGCTAAAAGGATCTTTTGGACATGTGCCAAAAAAACCAGGCAAACTTTTTTGACTGACATATCACACAGGATGAAACATGGGTCCATCACTATGATCCTGAGACTAAAGTTCAGTCGATGCAATGGAAGCATGTGGAGTCACCCCCCCACCCCCACCCCCACCCCACCCCCCACCCCCACCCCACCCCACCACCCCAAAGAAGGCACGTGTCCAACCCTCTGCAGGTAAGGTCATGCTCAAGGTGTTTTGGGACCAGCACGGAGTAGTGATGATGGATTTCTTGGCAAAGGGTACCACAATTACAGGAGCTTATTATGCTTCACTGCTGCGGAAATTGCGGGACGCTATCAAGCCTCAGAGACATGGCATGCTGACCAAGGGTGTCCGTCTCCTGCAAGACAATGCACCAGTACACAACTCTCATGTTGCCTAGACAGAAGCGCGGTCCTGTGGCTATGAAATCCTTCCACATCCTCCTTACTCCTGACCTTGCACCATCTGACTTCCACCTCTTTCCAACCATGAAGTCACTTTTGAAGGGAAAACGTTTCACAGATGATGAAACACTGATTTCTGAAGTCAAGTCCTGGTTTGAGACGCAAAATGAGGGCTTTAACAAGCGAGGTCTCCATAGTTGCATAAAACGATGGGAGAAGTGTGTAACTCTTGGTGGTTCCTATGTGGAGAAAGACTAATACCTATGCCAAGTTTCATTCCACTAGGTCCATCGGAAGTGGGTCAGGGGAAATCTTTAATGAACACCCCTCATACAAGTTGTTTGCACACTGATTTATGACATATTTCAAATTATCGATGTGTGGCATATTTACTGTCGCATATGATTATTGTGATGGGTATTATATGATGACTTTCTCTTAAGTACTAACATACAACCTGACTATATCATTTTTGTGTTCACAAGTGTCATTAATCAGTGTGAATAGCACTATTACTCATTTACTTACTATACACAGGAGTTTTAATATTATTGCAGTCATTTTCTATTCTGCCATGTTAGAGTCCTGTGATACAAGATTTCCGAGAACTACGCGAGACAGTGGAGAAGTCTGGATGGATGAAGATAAACCCAGTGTTTTTCTTGTGCCAGTTTCTCAGCCTGGTGGCAATGGAGGTATCAGCAGCAGCAACGATGTACTACTATGGCACAGACTGGCTGCCGTACATGGTTGCTGTGCTGCTATATTCCACATGTCAGGTAAACACACAAGCACTATATGAAAAGAAGCAATTCCTGTTTGTTAGGAGCAGAATGTATTGTGAAGAGGATGTGATTTGTGTCTGTACGCTGTGCTTATTTATCACTCTTCTGTCCCAGATGAATTCTGCTGTAAAATAAGCAACAGTCTGCGGTAGATTCTGAGGGTAAAAAGAACTATTTCCCCCTCAAAAGAATTATACAAACTAATTTTTCGAACACACGAATCCAAATCTGAGACAAAATAATTCCCCAAGCTGTCATTATATACCTGTGACAGAACATACAATTGATGTAACAAATGTCCATAGTGTAGTTGATATGTAGTTTTGGTTACATGTAAATTTGGTTTATGAAGTCATAATACCACAAGAACGTTTAAAAGTGAGAATTATGTATTTCAAAGTTTGCTCTATTGTAGGATTCATATTTTGTATGTTTGATCACATGTTAAACTGTTTGGGCGTCACTTATGCAAAATTCATCAGAAAAGCTTGAATATCATTGTAAAGATTGATAAAAAAAGGGCAAATTCTGCTATTTTAATACTGCAGTGAGTTCCATTTTCTGTTTGTGGAATCACAGAATTTGTCTGTGACTGCCTCTGGCACACATTCACCAGTGCCCCACAGGGTCTTGTACTGTCATCTGTCTGTGGCACACATTCACCAGTGCCCCACAGGGTCTTGTACTGTCATCTGTCTGTGGCACACATTCACCAGTGCCCCACAGGGTCTTGTACTGTCCTCTGTCTGTGGCACACATTCACCAGTGCCCCACAGGGTCTTGTACTGTCATCTGTCTGTGGCACACATTCACCAGTGCCCCACAGGGTCTTGTACTGTCCTCTGTCTGTGGCACACATTCACCAGTGCCCCACAGGGTCTTGTACTGTCATCTGTCTGTGGCACACATTCACCAGTGCCCCACAGGGTCTTGTACTGTCATCTGTCTGTGGCACACATTCACCAGTGCCCCACAGGGTCTTGTACTGTCATCTGTCTGTGGCACACATTCACCAGTGCCCCACAGGGTCTTGTACTGTCCTCTGTCTGTGGCACACATTCACCAGTGCCCCACAGGGTCTTGTACTGTCCTCTGTCTGTGGCACACATTCACCAGTGCCCCACAGGGTCTTGTACTGTCATCTGTCTCTGGCACACATTCACCAGTGCCCCACAGGGTCTTGTACTGTCATCTGTCTGTGGCACACATTCACCAGTGCCCCACAGGGTCTTGTACTGTCATCTGTCTGTGGCACACATTCACCAGTGCCCCACAGGGTCTTGTACTGTCCTCTGTCTGTGGCACACATTCACCAGTGCCCCACAGGGTCTTGTACTGTCCTGTGTCTCTGGCACACATTCACCAGTGCCCCACAGGGTCTTGTACTGTCATCTGTCTGTGGCACACATTCACCAGTGCCCCACAGGGTCTTGTACTGTCATCTGTCTGTGGCACACATTCACCAGTGCCCCACAGGGTCTTGTACTGTCCTCTGTCTGTGGCACACATTCACCAGTGCCCCACAGGGTCTTGTACTGTCCTCTGTCTGTGGCACACATTCACCAGTGCCCCACAGGGTCTTGTACTGTCCTCTGTCTGTGGCACACATTCACCAGTGCCCCACAGGGTCTTGTACTGTCCTCTGTCTGTGGCACACATTCACCAGTGCCCCACAGGGTCTTGTACTGTCATCTGTCTGTGGCACACATTCACCAGTGCCCCACAGGGTCTTGTACTGTCCTCTGTCTGTGGCACACATTCACCAGTGCCCCACAGGGTCTTGTACTGTCCTCTGTCTGTGGCACACATTCACCAGTGCCCCACAGGGTCTTGTACTGTCATCTGTCTCTGGCACACATTCACCAGTGCCCCACAGGGTCTTGTACTGTCATCTGTCTGTGGCACACATTCACCAGTGCCCCACAGGGTCTTGTACTGTCCTCTGTCTGTGGCACACATTCACCAGTGCCCCACAGGGTCTTGTACTGTCATCTGTCTGTGGCACACATTCACCAGTGCCCCACAGGGTCTTGTACTGTCCTCTGTCTGTGGCACACATTCACCAGTGCCCCACAGGGTCTTGTACTGTCATCTGTCTGTGGCACACATTCACCAGTGCCCCACAGGGTCTTGTACTGTCCTCTGTCTGTGGCACACATTCACCAGTGCCCCACAGGGTCTTGTACTGTCATCTGTCTGTGGCACACATTCACCAGTGCCCCACAGGGTCTTGTACTGTCATCTGTCTGTGGCACACATTCACCAGTGCCCCACAGGGTCTTGTACTGTCATCTGTCTGTGGCACACATTCACCAGTGCCCCACAGGGTCTTGTACTGTCATCTGTCTGTGGCACACATTCACCAGTGCCCCACAGGGTCTTGTACTGTCATCTGTCTGTGGCACACATTCACCAGTGCCCCACAGGGTCTTGTACTGTCCTGTCTGTGGCACACATTCACCAGTGCCCCACAGGGTCTTGTACTGTCATCTGTCTGTGGCACACATTCACCAGTGCCCCACAGGGTCTTGTACTGTCCTCTGTCTGTGGCACACATTCACCAGTGCCCCACAGGGTCTTGTACTGTCCTCTGTCTTATGCCTCCTGTGTACTAAAAGGTGTGGTAATTTCACAGTCAAGTTTGCAGATGACACACTGCTTAAGGGTTTGATAAAGGAGATTAGAGAATTTATGGGTTGTTTTTGAACGACACCTTTTTTCAAACAGCCATATTGATAGTGAGAAAACCTAAAATTTTATGGATCATAACTTTTCATTTATTGCATTTAGCGACGTTTAGAAGTTGATCTAGCTAGAGTGACTACAACCAAGTGATGAGAGGTTTATGTGCAACATATGTTGTGGCAAACTGCAGATTAACATTAACAATAACAGGTATTAGATAACAAGTAGCACACAGATTATTGGATGAAGCCAGATGTACAGTAAGAGTAACAAGTAGCACAAGGGTAATTAAGCCAGATGTACAGTAAGAGTGACAAGTAGCACATAGGTAATTAAGCCAGATGTACAGTAAGAGTAACAAGTAGCACAAAGGTAATTAAGCCAGATGTACAGTAAGAGTGACAAGTAGCACAAAGGTAATTAAGCCAGATGTACAGTAAGAGTGACACGTAGCACATAGGTAATTAAGCCAGATGTACAGTAAGAGTAACAAGTAGCACAAAGGTAATTAAGCCAGATGTACAGTAAGAGTGACAAGTAGCACAAAGGTAATTAAGCGAGATGTACAGTAAGAGTGACACGTAGCACAAAGGTAATTAAGCCAGATGTACAGTAAGAGTGACAAGTAGCACAAAGGTAATTAAGCCAGATGTACAGTAAGAGTGACAAGTAGCACAAGGGTAATTAAGCCAGATGTACAGTAAGAGTAACAAGTAGCACAAAGGTAATTAAGCCAGATGTACAGTAAGAGTGACAAGTAGCACAAAGGTAATTAAGCGAGATGTACAGTAAGAGTGATAAGTAGCACAAAGGTAATTAAGCCAGATGTACAGTAAGAGTAACAAGTAGCACAAAGGTAGTTAAGCCTGATGTACAGTAAGAGTGACAAGTAGCACAAAGGTAATTAAGCCAGATGTACAGTAAGAGTGACAAGTAGCACAAAGGTAATTAAGCCAGATGTACAGTAAGCGTGACAAGTAGCACAAAGGTAATTAAGCCAGATGTACAGTAAGAGTGACACGTAGCACAAAGGTAATTAAGCCAGATGTACAGTAAGAGTGACAAGTAGCACAAAGGTAATTAAGCCAGATGTACAGTAAGAGTGACAAGTAGCACAAAGGTAATTAAGCCAGATGTACAGTAAGAGTGACAAGTAGCACAAAGGTAATTAAGCCAGATGTACAGTAAGAGTGACAAGTAGCACAAGGGTAATTAAGCCAGATGTACAGTAAGAGTGACAAGTAGCACAAGGGTAATTAAGCCAGATGTACAGTAAGAGTAACAAGTAGCACAAAGGTAATTAAGCCAGATGTACAGTAAGAGTGACAAGTAGCACAAAGGTAATTAAGCCAGATGTACAGTAAGAGTGACAAGTAGCACAAAGGTAATTAAGCCAGATGTACAGTAAGAGTGACACGTAGCACAAAGGTAATTAAGCCAGATGTACAGTAAGAGTGACAAGTAGCACAAAGGTAATTAAGCCAGATGTACAGTAAAGGTAACAAGTAGCACAAAGGTAATTGAGCCAGATGTACAGTAAAGGTAACAAGTAGCACAAAGGTAATTAAGCCAGATGTACAGTAAAGGTAACAAGTAGCACAAAGGTAATTAAGCCAGATGTACAGTAAAGGTAACAAGTAGCACAAAGTAATTAAGCCAGATGTACAGTAAAGGTAAACAGACATTATAACATAGACATTATTCTGCCTATCTGTCAGGTTATATGTTTGTCTCCTTTCAGGCCCAAGCAGGCTGGACGCAACATGACTATGGCCATCTGTCTGTCTTCAAAAGTAACAAACTCAACCACTGGGCTCATAATTTCGTTATAGGATTTATTAAGGTGAGACACATGTCTACAGACTCGTCAGTTTGTCACAGGATTTCTAAATTTGAGACTCATTATAAAAACATACAAATTTATGGATGACAACTTCTGGCTTATTGCGCGTAGTGATGTTTCGATGTAGATTCTTACACTGTTATCAATCTGGAGTTGAAACGCTGCTACATGCTATGAACCAGAAGTTGTTATTCATAAAGTTGTGCATTTTTATTATTCACTCACCACCAACTTCTTGAATGCCAATCAAACAAGGTGAGACTCATGTCCAGTGACTCATCATTTGTGATAGGATTTATTTGTGTTTGAGATGTGCCTCTGTTCACCCAGCAGTGAATGGGTACACAGTACTTCTTCTTTGGAACTAAGAGATAGATATCAACCATATTTGGTTGGAAGCATTCTCCGGTTATGAGAATTCAAAATTGTACAAATGGAGGGGCTGACCCCCCAAGGGGCTGAGAGGCGGAGCCAAATAGGGGTAATTTGGCGTTATTGCTTTAAAAGACTTCTTCTGTGGAACTAAGAGATAGATATCAACCATATTTGGTTGGAAGCATTCTCCGGTTATGAGAATTCAAAATTGTACAAATGGAGGGGCTTACCCCCCAAGGGGCTGAGAGGCGGAGCCAAATAGGGGTAATTTGGCGTTATTGCTTTAAAAGACTTCTTCTGTGGAACTAAGAGATAGGTATCAATCATATTTGGTTGAAGCATTGTCTGGTTATGAGAATTCAAAATTGTACAAATGGAGGGGCTGACCCCCCAGGGGGCTGAGGGGCGGGGCCAAATAGGGGTAATTTGGCGTTATTGCTTTAAAAGACTTCTTCTTTGGAACTAAGAGATAGGTATCAATCATATTTGGTTGGAAGCATTGTCTGGTTATGAGAATTCAAAATTGTACAAATGGAGGGGCTGACCCCACAGGGGGCTGAGGGGCGGGGCCAAATAGGGGTAATTTGGCGTTATTGCTTTAAAAGACTTCTTCTGTGGAACTAAGAGATAGGTATCAATCATATTTGGTTGGAAGCATTGTCCGGTTAGGAGAATTCAAAATTGTACAAATGGAGGGGCTGACCCCCCAAGGGGCTGAGGGGCGGGGCCAAATAGGGGTAATTTGGCTATATTGCTTTAAACAACTTCTTCTTTGGAACTAAGAGATAGATATCAACCATATTTGGTTGGAAGCATTCTTCGGTGGTGAGGATTCCAGACTGTACAAATGGAGGGGCTAACCCCCCAAGGGGCTGAGGGGCAGGACCAAATAGGGGTAATTTGGCTATATTGCTTTAAACGACTTCTTCTCTGGAACTAAGAAATACATATAAACCATATTTGGTTGGAAGTACTCTCAGGTGATGGGAATGCACAATTATATAAATGGAGGGGCTGACCCCCCTTGCTCTCTGGAAACTTAGATCCTGGATCATATCATGGAAATGGTTCAGATCTTTATGCTACATTTGTATCTAGAGAAATAAACATTCATTGTGTCAGATTTGCCATCCACCCATTTTAAATGCTGACAGAGTCAAAATTATGAAATATTTGCAGTATTATGTACATGTACAATGCAAATGTATATTTTGTCATGATTGTGTAAATATTCAGGTGAGCGATACAGGCCCTATGGGCCTCTTGTTGTTGTTGTTGTCATTATTATTTCTATCAATCAATGTTACAGGGTGCCTCATCACATTGGTGGAATTTCCGCCACAACCAACACCACTGCAAGCCTAACATCCTGAAGAAGGACCCTGACATTGAGATCAACTACCTGTTCCTCTTGGGGGACTATCTCCCTGTGTCGTGGGGGAGGAAGAAGAAGGGGGTCATGCCCTACAACTTCCAGCATAACTACTTCTTTCTGCGTGAGTTGCCCAGACAAACTGGCAATCTATCTTTCATGGCTTTGTCAGTGATGAGAGGGTGTTGATAACTACTATTTACTGTTGTAAATGGGATTTTACCTGTGAACTCATTTTTTCTGAATAGTTGCAGGGTATTCTCAGTAAGCTATGCTTGTTGTAAGATGCAACTAACGGTTTAGGTGTTCAGGCTAAGTGACTTGGTTGAATTGGATTGTCTTGTCCAGATTAGATTACTTACAGGCAGTTGTAGCAGGAATAGTGCTGACTGCACCAACAAAACATACAAGTACTTGCTTAAAGGGTTTTTGTTTTTGTTTCAGTGGGACCCCCTCTTCTATTACCAATTTATTTTCACCTGGAAAACTTTTATTTTGTCTTTAAAAGAAAAGATTGGTGGGTAAGTTGGCATATAGTATAACTTACTAAATGAAGTGTAAAGCAAGGTGCTCTTGACATCACCGTGTTTTGCAGGGACTGAGGAAAAAAACAGCTTTTGTACATGATGAACTTGATGGTTATGATTAGAATTGGATACAACTTGACATTGTCTGTATGGCAGGGTCTTGTTTGGGGGAAAACTCTGGGAAATGTCGGATACATTCATGAAAAATCAAACCAGTTTCCAGTCACATGTCCCATCACTAACTGGAAATGTGATGATTGTGTTCACTGAGGAGATGTGGTGATTGTGTTCACTAACTGGAAATGTGATGATTGTGTTCACTGAGTGGGGATGTGGTAATTGTGTTCACTGAGTGGGGGTGTGATGATTGTGTTCACTGAGTGGGGATGTGGTGATTGTGTTCACTGAGTGGTTATGTGATGATTGTGTTCACTGAGTGGGTATATGATGATTGTGTTCACTGAGTGTGGATGTGGCGATTGTGTTCACTGACTGGGATTGTTGCAGTTCTGTTCAATGACTGGGATTATGGCAATTGTGTTCAATGACTGGGATTATCATATGGTGATTGTGTTCACTGAGTGTGGATCTGGTGATTTTGTTCACAGAGTGGGGATGTGGTGATTGTGTTCACTGAGTGGGGATGTGATGATTGTGTTCACTGACTGGAAATGTGATAATTGTGTTCACCGAGTGGAATTTTGGTGATAGTGTTCACTGAGTGTGGATCTGGTGATTGTGTTCACAGAGTGGGGATGTGGTGATTGTGTTCACTGAATGGGGATGTGGTGATTGTGTTCACAGAGAGTGGATCTGGTGATTGTGTTCACAGAGTGGGGATGTGGTGATTGTGTTCACAGAGTGGGTATATGGTGATTGTGTTCACTGAGTGGGGATGTGGTGATTGTGTTCACAGAGTGGGGATATGGTGATTGTGTTCACTGACTGGGGATGTGGTGATTGTGTTCACTGACTGGGTATATGGTGATTGTGTTCACTGAGTGGGGATGTGGTGATTGTGCTCACTGACTGGAAATGTGATAATTGTGTTCACTGAGTGGGTATGTGGTGATTGTGTTCACTGACTGGGGATGTGGTGATTGTGCTCACTGACTTGAAATGTGATAATTGTGTTCACTAACTGGGTATGTGGTGATTGTGCTCACTGACTGGGGATGTGGTGATAGTGTTCACTGACAAGGTATATGGTGATTGTGTTCACTGAATGGGGATGTGGTGATTGTGCTCACTGACTGGAAATGTGATAATTGTGTTCACTAACTGGGTATGTGGTGATTGTGTTCACTGACTTGGTATGTGGTGATTGTGTTCACTGAGTGGGTATATGGTGATTGTGTTCACTGAATGGGGATGTGGTGATTGTGTTCACTGACTGGGGATGTGGTGATTGTGTTCACTAACTGGGTATGTGGTGATTGTGCTCACTGACTGGGGATGTGGTGATTGTGCTCACTGACTGGAAATGTGATAATTGTGTTCACTAACTGGGTATGTGGTGATTGTGTTCACTGAATGGGGTTATGGTGAGTGTTCACTGACAGGGGATGTAGTGATTGTGTTCAGCGAGTGGAATTGTGGTGAGTATGTTCACTGAATGGGATTGTGGTGATTGTGTTCACTGAGAGGGATGTGGTGAGCATGTTCACTAACTAGGGTGATCACTAAGTGGAAATGTTGTTGTGCAGGACTTGATGTGGACCACATTGTTCTTCATGAAGCTGTCGTGGGTGTACTCACCCTTGCTGGGACACTGGGGGACCTTCTGGTTCTACATGCTCGTCAGGTATGTTCTGCAATGTTCACAATGTCTGCAGTGAATGTTATCTGTTCTAGTTCACAATGTTCACAATATCTGCAGTGAATGTTATCTGTTCTAGTTCACAATGTTCACAATGTCTGCAGTGAATGTTATCTGTTCTAGTTCACAATGTTCACAATATCTGCAGTGAATGTTATCTGTTCTAGTTCACAATGTTCACAATGTCTGCAGTGAATGTTATCTGTTCTAGTTCACAATGTTCACAATATCTGCAGTGAATGTTATCTGTTCTAGTTCACAATATCTGCAGTGAATGTAAGCTGTTCTTGTTCACAATGTCTGCAGTGAAAGTTATTTGTTCCAGTTCACAATGTCTGCAGTGAAAGTTATCTGTTCTAGTTCACAATATCTGCAGTGAATGTTAGCTGTTCTAGTTCACAATGTTCACAATGCCTGCAGTGAATGTTATCTGTTCTTGTTCACAATGTTCAAAATGTCTGCAGTGAATGTTATTTGTTCTAGTTCACAATATCTGCAGTGAATGTTATCTGTTCTAGTTCACAATGTCTGCAGTGAATGTTAGCTGTTCTAGTTCACAATGTTACCAATGTCTGCAGTGAATGGGTATACAGGACCGTTGGTAACCGTTGGTTGATTTAGTTGAAATTATTTGGCTCTAAAGGTGGACAGCCACGTAACTCTTTCAAACTCACATCAATGAGATGATTTGTTTTGAATGTTTAGACACAGCTGGACATTTTGTTTATTATTTGCAGTTGACTTGATGAAAACTTTTATGTCAAATTTCACTTGTGTCTACAACATCCAGAGGAAGTTTTGATTAGTTCCAATGACTAATGGTGAGAGCAGATAACTCTGCTTCATCGAGACCTGTGACAGGGATCACGTGATCCTCACTTTAGTCTTGTGAAAGCATGGGGAACTGAGCACTTCCCACACCTCCCATCATGGATCAGGCTAGCTGCTGTCTTACATTTAGGGAATAGTCTACCAACTATGAGAAGAGAACATGATCTCAAGTCACTGCATCTTTAAATCCCAGTGATGGATTTATTTCATTAGGGGCAGATAATAGATGAATAGGTGATTCTATATTTCTAACTATCAGACAATTGTTGAAACGTCTCATAAAAGCTTTTGTCATAAACAATAGATGACTTACTTCATCTTTGATTATTTACCACTGCAATGATGACTGCTTTGCTATGAACCATTATGCTAATAATCAAATCAGTGGAACATGCCTGTAAGTAGGAAGTAAAACTCCTGGTTGTTGACAATTCCTGTGGCTACTAATTTGCCCTAGACCTGTGTCATGTACTGTTGCCTGTGTTGGCAGGATGGTGGAGAGCCACTGGTTTGTGTGGGTCACACAGATGAGTCATCTACCCAACGAGGTGGAGCACGACAAGAAGCTGGACTGGGTGCACCTGCAGCTGGCCACCACAAGCAACGCAGAGCCCAGCACCTTCAACGACTGGTTCACTGGCCATCTCAACTACCAGATAGAGCACCAGTGAGTAGCTTGTCCCATCACAACCATTACGACAGTCTTCTATATTCATCCTGTCAGGCCTTGTGTTAAGTGTCCCATCACAACCATTACAACAGTCTTCTATATTCATCAAGTCAGGCCTTGTCTTAAGTGTCCCATCACAACCATTAAAACAGTCTTCTATATTCATCATGTCAGGCCTTGTCTTAAGTGTCCCATCACAACCATTACAACAGTCTTCTATATTCATCAAGTCAGGCCTTGTGTTAAGTGTCCCATCACAACCATTAAAACAGTCTTCTATATTCATCATGTCAGGCCTTGTCTTAAGTGTCCCATCACAACCATTACAACAGTCTTCTATATTCATCCTGTCAGGCCTTGTGTTAAGTGTCCCATCACAACCATTAAAACAGTCTTCTATATTCATCATGTCAGGCCTTGTCTTAAGTGTCCCATTACAACCATTACAACAGTCTTCTATATTCACCATGTCAGGCCTTGTCTTAAGTGTCCCATCACAACCATTAAAACAGTCTTCTATATTCATCAAGTCAGGCCTTGTGTTAAGTGTCCCATCACAACCATTACAACAGTCTTCTATATTCATCCTGTCAGGCCTTGTGTTAAGTGTCCCATCACAACCATTACAACAGTCTTCTATATTCATCATGTTAGGCCTTGTGTTAAGTGTCCCATCACAACCATCACAACAGTCTTCTATATTCATCATGTCAGGCCTTGTGTTAAGTGTCCCATCACAACCATGACAACAGTCTTCTATATTCATCATGTCAGGCCTTGTGTTAAGTGTCCCATCACAACCATTACAACAGTCTTCTATATTCATCATGTCAGGCCTTGTGTTAACTGTCCTATCACAACCGTAACAACAGTCTTCTATATTCATCATGTTAGGGCTTGTGTTAAGTGTCCCATCACAACCATGACAACAGTCTTCTATATTCATCATGTCAGGCCTTGTGTTAACTGTCCTATCACAACTGTAACAACAGTCTTCTATATTCATCATGTTAGGGCTTGTGTTAAGTGTCCCATCACAACCATGACAACAGTCTTCAATATTCATCATGTTAGGCCTTGTGTTAAGTGTCCCATCACAACCATGACAACAGTCTTCTATATTCATCATGTTAGGCCTTGTGTTAAGTCATCACAACCATTACAACAGTCTTCTATATTCATCATGTTAGGCCTTGTGTTAACTGTCCCATCACAACCATTACAACAGTCTTCTATATTCATCATGTTAGGCCTTGTGTTAAGTGTCCCATCACAACCATTACAACAGTCTTCTATATTCATCATGTCAGGCCTTGTGTTAATTGTCCCATCACAACCATTACAACAGTCTTCTAGAATCATTGTGTTAGTCCTTGTGTTAATTGTCCTATCACAACCATGACAACAGTCTTCTATATTCATCATGTCAGGCCTTGTGTTAAGTGTCCCATCACAACCATGACAACAGTCTTCTATAAACATCATGTCAGGCCTTGTGTTAATTGTCCCATCACAACCATTACAACAGTCTTCTAGATTCATTGTGTTAGGCCTTGTGTTAATTGTCCTATCACAACCATGACAACAGTCTTCTATATTCATCATGTTAGGCCTTGTGTTAATTGTCCCATCACAACCATGACAACAGTCTTCTATATTCATCATGTCAGGCCTTGTGTTAAGTGTCCCATCACAACCATGACAACAGTCTTCTATATTCATCATTTCAGGCCTTGTGTTAATTGTCCCATCACAACCATTACCACAGTCTTCTAGATTCATTGTGTTAGGCCTTGTGTTAATTGTCCTATCACAACCATGACAACAGTCTTCTATATTCATCATGTTAGGCCTTGTGTTAATTGTCCCATCACAGCCATTACATCAGTCTTCTAGATTCATCATGTTAGGCCTTGTGTTAAGTGTCCCATCACAACCATGACAACAGTCTTCTATATTCATCATGTCAGGCCTTGTGTTAAGTGTCCCATCACAACCATGACAACAGTCTTCAATATTCATCATGTCAGGCCTTGTGTTAAGTGTTCCATCACAACCATGACAACAGTCTTCTATAAACATCATGTCAGGCCTTGTGTTAATTGTCCCATCACAGCCATTACATCAGTCTTCTAGATTCATCATGTTAGGCCTTGTGTTAAGTGTCCCATCACAACCATGACAACAGTCTTCAATATTCATCATGTCAGGCCTTGTGTTAAGTGTTCCATCACAACCATGACAACAGTCTTCTATAAACATCATGTCAGGCCTTGTGTTAATTGTCCCATCACAGCCATTACATCAGTCTTCTAGATTCATCATGTTAGGCCTTGTGTTAAGTGTCCCATCACAACCATGACAACAGTCTTCTATATTCATCATGTCAGGCCTTGTGTTAAGTGTCCCATCACAACCATGACAACAGTCTTCTATATTCATCATGTCAGGCCTTGTGTTAAGTGTCCCATCACAACCATGACAACAGTCTTCTATAAACATCATGTCAGGCCTTGTGTTAATTGTCCCATCACAACCATTACAACAGTCTTCTAGATTCATTGTGTTAGGCCTTGTGTTAATTGTCCTATCACAACCATGACAACAGTCTTCTATATTCATCATGTTAGGCCTTGTGTTAATTGTCCCATCACAACCATGACAACAGTCTTCTCTATTCATCATGTTAGGCCTTGTGTTAATTGTCCTATCACAACCATTACAACAGTCTTCTATATTCATCATGTCAGGCCTTGTGTAAAGTGTCCCATCACAACCATGACAACAGTCTTCTATATTCATCATGTCAGGCCTTGTGTTAAGTGTCCCATCACAACCATGACAACAGTCTTCAATATTCATCATGTCAGGCCTTGTGTTAAGTGTTCCATCACAACCATGACAACAGTCTTCTATAAACATCATGTCAGGCCTTGTGTTAATTGTCCCATCACAACCATTACAACAGTCTTCTAGATTCATTGTGTTAGGCCTTGTGTTAATTGTCCTATCACAACCATGACAACAGTCTTCTATATTCATCATGTCAGGCCTTGTGTTAAGTGTCCCATCACAACCATGACAACAGTCTTCTATATTCATCATGTCAGGCCTTGTGTTTAGTGTCCCATCACAACCATTACAACAGTCTTCTATATTCATCATGTTAGGGCTTGTGTTAAGTGTCCCATCACAACCATGACAACAGTCTTCTATATTCATCATTTCAGGCCTTGTGTTAATTGTCCCATCACAACCATTATCACAGTCTTCTAGATTCATTGTGTTAGGCCTTGTGTTAATTGTCCTATCACAACCATGACAACAGTCTTCTATATTCATCATGTTAGGCCTTGTGTTAATTGTCCCATCACAGCCATTACAACAGTTTTCTAGATTCATCATGTTAGGCCTTGTGTTACGTGTCCCATCACAACCATGACAACAGTCTTCTATATTCATCATGTCAGGCCTTGTGTTAAGTGTCCCATCACAACCATGACAACAGTCTTCTATATTCATTGTGTCAGGCCTTGTGTTAATTGTCCCATCACAACCATGACAACAGTCTTCTATAAACATCATGTCAGGCCTTGTGTTAATTGCCCCATCACAACCATTACAACAGTCTTCTAGATTCATTGTGTTAGGCCTTGTGTTAATTGTCCTATCACAACCATGACAACAGTCTTCTATATTCATCATGTTAGGCCTTGTGTTAATTGTCCCATCACAACCATTACAACAGTCTTCTAGATTCATCATGTTAGGCCTTGTGTTAATTGTCCCATCACAACCATGACAACAGTCTTCTATATTCATCATGTCAGGCCTTGTGTTAAGTGTCCCATCACAACCATGACAAGAGTCTTCTATATTCATCATGTCAGGCCTTGTGTTAAGTGTCCCATCACAACCATGACAACAGTCTTCTATAAACATCATGTCAGGCCTTGTGTTAATTGTCCCATCACAACCATTACCACAGTCTTCTAGATTCATTGTGTTAGGCCTTGTGTTAATTGTCCCATCACAACCATGACAACAGTCTTCTATATTCATCATGTTAGGCCTTGTGTTAATTGTCCCATCACAACCATTACAACAGTCTTCTAGATTCATTGTGTTAGGCCTTGTGTTAATTGTCCTATCACAACCGTAACAACAGTCTTCTATATTCATCCTGTCAGGCCTTGCATTATTTTTGCTGGGTTTATGGACAAGCCGACTTTGAAAATAAAAAATTCTGAAAAAATATATATCAGAATGACAAGGTATTTTTTATACCGCCGTTTGTAAAGTTTGTGTAAATTTAAAAAAACAAAACAAGGGATTTTTATATGACTAAAACAGAATTATTTCCAATGATAAATTGTCATTACCAGTCAGATGTTAGATTCATTATATTTACATGGACTCAACTAATTTTATCACCTACCAATCCAAATAAAACTTTAAAAAATCCTCTACAGTGCATTTTGACTTAAGTGTTTTGCCTGCATATGGACCAAAGTTTTCCCTGTAACACTCCCCCCAAAAGGCTGGCGTTAGATCCCTCCTACATGATGTTGTAGTGCAGGGAGGAATATCATGTGTCTACAGGGAGGAATATCATGTGTCTACAGGGAGGAATATCATGTGTCAACAGGGAGGAATATCATGTGTCTACAGGGAGGAATATCATGTGTCTACATGGAGGAATATCATGTGTCTACAGGGAGGAATATCATGTGTCTACAGGGAGGAATATCATGTGTCAACAGGGAGGAATATCATGTGTCTACAGGGAGGAATATCATGTGTCTACAGGGTGGAATATCATGTGTCAACAGGGAGGAATATCATGTGTCTACAGGGAGGAATATCATGTGTCAACAGGGAGGAATATCATGTGTCTACATGGAGGAATATCATGTGTCTACAGGGAGGATTATCATGTGTCAACAGGGAGGAATATCATGTGTCAACAGGGAGGAATATCATGTGTCTACAGGGAGGAATATCATGTGTCAACAGGGAGGAATATCATGTGTCAACAGGGAGGAATATCATGTGTCTACAGGGAGGAATATCATGTGTCAACAGGGAGGAATATCATGTATCTACATGGACAAAGATGACTTCAGGATGACTATTATTAAATAAGAAATAGTTTGCGTTATGTCTGAAAGGAATTCTATACAATTTTATGAAAAGAATCATACATATTTGTGAAGTTTATGAAAATACCACCTCTCAGAGTACAAGCAAGAATAAATCGGTACAGACTGCACACTTAATATTTTCATGCACATACAGCATGTGCAGCTGTTTTGTTACACTATCATATTATTATTGTTGTTGTTGTTGTTGTTGTTGTTGTTGTTGTTGTTGTTGTTGTTGTTGTGTGTGTGTGTGGGGGGGGATGTTGTGGAGGAGGTGATTTTAAGTACATAGTGTTTATTCCAAATATAGGATATTTACCATCTCAAAACACACACGTGTGATTACCTCTTTATCATATTTCATTGAAAAAAGTATTTCCATCTCTCACAAACAGTATCTAAACATTGCAAGTTTTCCAGTATAATTTATGTGTTACATGACAAGGTCAGTGATTAGCCAGTCAGAGGGGACAATGGTCAATATGGTTCCACCTGAAACCTTTTAGTTCTTACGAAACTTCTACCTCTATTACATCTCTGCCATAAATCCTGTATTTTGGCTTCAGTCACACTAACTAAAACTTTCAGATTTTGAACCGACGTCCTCTTCACTGCTAATTTCACACACAACTAGTCTCGTAACTACCCAAGCCTTGACGTCATAATGGTGACAAACTCAATTTTTTCCCACATCTGAGTGAGTGAGTGAGTGAGTGAGTGAGTGAGTTGGGTTTAATGCCACTTAACAGTATTTTTTGCTTTGTCAGTCAACACAGACAGACGTGTTTTGAGATTAAAGCCTCTGCAGTTTTCCAGCATCCGTTGCTCTTATTAATTCACCGTTTTCTCTTGCTATTGTTTATGGTTTGCGCCTCTTTGGTCTTATCCCTATATAATTTGTACTATATTTTCTCTAGTTTGTGGCTCTCAGTCACGGTAAATACGGCATATTGTTGTTCCATTCCCCTATTTTAAATTCACAGCTTTCGTGTTTTGTGATGAAAATTCTTTTGTGATGTATTGGAAATTCAGTAACTTTTATTTCCTATCTATATCTATTTTATTTCCTATCTGTGTGATTTTAAGTGTTTACACTTATTTTCTCTCCCATAAACCAATGAGTTTTTGAGTTGTAAATTACCTTGCATTTCCTGTTGTGTATTTACACGTTTGTAAATAGGACTTATACCTCATACAGATTTATGCCTCGTATTGTTTGTCATGGAAGCAAGTCTGGCTGGGTTCCTCACCCTCTGTGTCCTGATTGCATGGAGCCCTGTTCGACCTCATTGCAGTGTTGCTTCTGCAGCCCCCTGTCTGAGGAGGACTTCTCTCTCTTCTTGAGAGCTGCAAGGAAGCGACGAAACTCAGCGCGCCCACAGACACCTTATGATGTCAAACATCACGGCTCTCACATCTACCTCGGCAGTTGATGATAACCTGTTCTACCTCTGAGTCGCAGTTTACCACCCCCTCATCTTCGACCTCTGTTTCTACTACGACACCGCAGATGATGTCACCTCAACTGCTGGTCACGTCATCCACGACTGCGGCGCCATCTGGCTATTGACCCTTCCCTGGACTACCCGGCATTAGATGCCTCATCAACCAGCGCCACAGCATGTTCTGCCAGCCTCCTTTGTGGATCCTAACTGGTTTAGACAGTCCATGGTACCTGGGGCACCTCCTGCTTAACTGACACTTTCTGCCACTGCCACAGTCCCGGCTCCTCTCAGCTCTCTGGCTCAAGTTACAGTTCCTGCTGCTTTGCCGATTTTTCCTGTCATGAACTTGTCAGCAGCACTGCCGGCACCTTCTCCAACTGCGCCCTTGGCACCTCTTGTTGATGGAGATCCTACCCTTCTACTCATACTAGATTGTGATGTGGTTCAGCCTCTCCTGGCTCCTCCCAGCGCAGCTCTACGTCATCCCTGACACGTTGCTGTTTGCGCAGCCGTTCTACCATCCATAGGAAGGAGCGTGATTACCACTCGGACTCCTCTGATGGAGCTTTCGTTCCTGACGGTGATCCTCCCTTGCCGGACTTGGACACATATCTCGGGATAAATCAAGTTGCAGATTGGATTGCAGATAGATTGGCTTCTGTAGCACCGTCTATGGGACCAGACATGGACAATCTGGTTGGATTGACATCCATCCCTCCAGATGCACTGCTAACAGTTCTCACCTTGCACTCAATGAGGACTTCGTGAAGCTCTCACTCACTCCATCCTTTAAGGCACCTCGTTATCGGCGGACATTACCACCAACTGATGCCTTGGATATCCATTGCGTTGAAGAAACTCCAACCCTGGTCTAGTTCATCCTTGTTTAATAGGCAATCATTGATAATCATTCTTGAGTATACATTTAGCGAGAGACAAAACACCTCTGAAAGCCCTGGAACATGTCACTCAACATACATCTGCCAAGATTGTTCTTTTGGCCCTGTCTACGGCAGCAAACTACACACCTTAGACGTTTCCTGCGTCCGTTTTGAACATGGAGCTCATGGGGGCTGTTTATCTGGACTTGGTTACTTTGGCCTCAACAAGGAATAATTTTGGACCACATCTGAAGGCATGCCCACTGCTGTACTGTCTGATAAAGATGCATGAAGGAGTAATGCAGGACAAATTTAAAAAATTAGTAAAACCTAAATATATTTACATTTGTATACCTGTCCTGCATTACTTTGTCTCAGTGCCCTACTGTTGCAGTGCGTCCTCCCCATGAAGTCTTCAGATGTTACGTTATAAAGCAGTAATGTGCTCTCATACCCACTTCCGTGTCACGTGGCAGCTCTGTGAGGGCACTGGTTGGAACAACTTTTTCTGCAGCTAGACCTCTCCCAGCTTCGTCTTTCTTTTAAAAAACAGCAGTAAATGCATAAAAGAGTAATGCAGGATAAGTATACAAATGTATGAAATATTTAAATTTTACTAAGTTGCTCTACATATCATTGGTCTGCCCACTAGAGTCATTGCCCTTTGCGAAAGGGAAGCGACTTTAGAGTCTGCCAGGCATGTCATGATGTTACAAATGCAGTCATAGGTCCCACACAGTAAAAAGATAATAGCTAAAATATCTCGTCTAAATCCAACTGTTTTAAATTCTATAAGACCCTGATCAAGCACAGACATAGAAACTGGGAACGGATCCCGCTAGCGTCTTGCCAACATTGCTTTGCCAAGCTTGTTTGTAAACACTGAAAGCTGTACCTATCTGACTTTTTTATTTGCATATTTATCCGTAAATGACTCCCAAAGGATACAGTCATTATTCCATGGCTTTATTGTGCCAAGAAACCTACCAATTAAATTTATTTTGATATCATATATGTATTTGTGACGGGATGTTTAGACTGTCCTGAATCTGTAGCTGCGTTGCGTATGTTTCAGCCTATTTCCCACGATGCCTCGCCACAACTACGCCAAGGTGATGCCCCTCGTCAAGTCACTATGCAAGAAACATGGTGTCACATACAGATGCAAAACACTATACAGATCGTTTGCAGACATATACTGGTGAGTTTCTTCTGTCTGCTACTCACAAGTACAAGAACCTCTTGATTTGTGTCTCCAGTGTTACAGTGCTTGTCATGTCCCATACAGTTTGGACAGTGTCAGGCTTTCACTGGGACAACTTTGCCAGGGAGTTAAATGTTGATCTCCTCCCAGTCTGTACTTGATGACAGGAGAGTGTTGATCTGCTCCCTGTCTGTAGTTGATGACAGGAGAGTGTTGATCTGCTCCCTGTCTGTAGTTGATGACAGGAGAGTGTTGATCTGCTCACTGTCTGTAGTTGATGACAGGAGAGTGTTGATCTGCTCCCTGTCTGTAGTTGATGACAGGAGAGTGTTGATCTGCTCCCTGTCTGTAGTTGATGACAGGAGAGTGTTGATCTCCTCACTGTCTGTAGTTGATGACAGGAGAGTGTTGATCTGCTCCCAGTCTGTAGTTGATGACAGGAGAGTGTTAATCTGCTCCCTGTCTGTAGTTGATGACAGGAGAGTGTTAATCTGCTCCCTGTCTGTAGTTGATGACAGGAGAGTGTTGATCTGCTCCCTGTCTGTAGTTGATGACAGGAGAGTGTTGATCTGCTCCCTGTCTGTAGTTGATGACAGGACAGTGTTAATCTGCTCCCTGTCTGTAGTTGATGACAGGAGAGTGTTGATCTGCTCCCTGTCTGTAGTTGATGACAGGAGAGTGTTGATCTCCTCACTGTCTGTAGTTGATGACAGGAGAGTGTTCATCTGCTCCCAGTCTGTAGTTGATGACAGGAGAGTGTTAATCTGCTCCCTGTCTGTAGTTGATGACAGGAGAGTGTTGATCTGCTCCCTGTCTGTAGTTGATGACAGGAGAGTGTTGATCTGCTCCCTGTCTGTAGTTGATGACAGGAGAGTGTTAATCTCCTCCCAGTCTGTAGTTGATGACAGGAGAGTGTTTATCTCCTCACTGTCTGTAGTTGATGACAGGAGAGTGTTGATCTGCTCCCAGTCTGTAGTTGATGACAGGAGAGTGTTCATCTGCTCCCAGTCTGTAGTTGATGACAGGAGAGTGTTGATCTGCTCCCAGTCTGTAGTTGATGACAGGAGAGTGTTGATCTGCTCCCTGTCTGTAGTTGATGACAGGAGAGTGTTGATCTGCTCCCAGTCTGTAGTTGATGACAGGACAGTGTTGATCTGCTCCCAGTCTGTAGTTGATGACAGGAGAGTGTTGATCTGCTCCCAGTCTGTAGTTGATGACAGGAGAGTGTTGATCTCCTCACTGTCTGTAGTTGATGACAGGAGAGTGTTGATCTGCCCCCAGTCTGTACTTGATGACAGGAGAGTGTTGATCTGCTCCCTGTCTGTAGTTGATGACAGGAGAGTGTTGATCTGCTCCCTGTCTGTAGTTGATGACAGGAGAGTGTTGATCTGCTCACTGTCTGTAGTTGATGACAGGAGAGTGTTGATCTGCTCCCTGTCTGTAGTTGATGACAGGAGAGTGTTGATCTGCTCCCTGTCTGTAGTTGATGACAGGACAGTGTTAATCTGCTCCCTGTCTGTAGTTGATGACAGGAGAGTGTTGATCTGCTCACTGTCTGTAGTTGATGACAGGAGAGTGTTGATCTCCTCACTGTCTGTAGTTGATGACAGGAGAGTGTTGATCTGCTCCCAGTCTGTAGTTGATGACAGGAGAGTGTTTATCTTCTCACTGTCTGTAGTTGATGACAGGAGAGTGTTGATCTGCTCCCTGTCTGTAGTTGATGACAGGAGAGTGTTGATCTGCTCCCAGTCTGTAGTTGATGACAGGAGAGTGTTAATCTCCTCCCAGTCTGTAGTTGATGACAGGAGAGTGTTTATCTCCTCACTGTCTGTAGTTGATGACAGGAGAGTGTTGATCTGCTCCCAGTCTGTAGTTGATGACAGGAGAGTGTTGATCTGCTCCCAGTCTGTAGTTGAAGACAGGAGAGTGTTGATCTGCTCCCAGTCTGTAGTTGATGACAGGAGAGTGTTGATCTGCTCCCTGTCTGTAGTTGATGACAGGAGAGTGTTGATCTGCTCCCAGTCTGTAGTTGATGACAGGACAGTGTTGATCTGCTCCCAGTCTGTAGTTGATGACAGGAGAGTGTTAATCTGCTCCATGTCTGTAGTTGATGACAGGAGAGCGTTAATCTGCTCCCTGTCTGTAGTTGATGACAGGAGAGTGTTAATCTGCTCCCAGTCTGTAGTTGATGAAAGGAGAGTGTTAATCTCCTCCCAGTCTGTAGCTGATGACAGGAGAGTGTTTATCTCCTCACTGTCTGTAGTTGATGACAAGAGAGTGTTGATCTGCTCCCTGTCTGTAGTTGATGACAGGAGAGTGTTGATCTGCTCCCTGTCTGTAGTTGATGACAGGAGAGTGTTGATCTGCTCCCTGTCTGTAGTTGATGACAGGAGAGTGTTGATCTCCTCACTGTCTGTAGTTGATGACAGGAGAGTGTTGATCCGCTCCCTGTCTGTTTTTGCTGATGGAAGTGTTGATCTGATGCCCGTTTGTAGTTGATGATTTGAGAGTGTTGATCTTCATCCCATCTGTTCCAGGTCCCTGAAGAAATCGGGGCAACTGTGGTATGATGCATATCATGAATGAAGGCCAACATAATGTGCCATATCATGCACCAGGCCTCCATGGACTGCCGGATTGTCACCTGCCAGCTCTGAGGTGCAGGGTGGAGCCACATGTCAGAGGACAAGAGGATCCTTGTATTTGGAGTGGATCCATAACATATTCTCTTCTGTGTGCATTGTTACCATGGTCCTGCCATAAAGTACTCAATGATAGGAAAACTTGTTTCTGTTAAAGGCCTCTTATTCAAATTTCACTATAATTTATCAGTATTTTATTTCTAATCCTTCCAATCTAGACATGTCATGTTTTGGTGATCAGGGGAGGGGTCAGTAACTGTTAGCGATATGTGGTATTGATTTCGTAACACTGGTTTCCTATGTCCCTTCTAAGTTTGTCCTGGGTGTGTAGACAGAGTTGGTGTTGTTAAGGAGGGTTTGAGTGTCAAATTCTACAATTCAGTAATCCAAACAAAGCTGCTAATGATTGTCTGGCAGAAACACTGATGGTGCTGTAACAGTTCTGTGAAGGAATAGGGTGCAAATTGAGGAACAGGGTTTAGCACCTCATCCAGCAAAGTGATCTTAGCTGTACCACTGTAGTAAGTTTAAGTTGACTTTTTCTCTCCAAAAAATAAAATGTGAATTCTTTTTACATGTAAATGATATTTCAGTCGAGTTTTTATTCCATGAACCAGAAATAAGTAATATGTTAAAAAAATGCTCCTTTAATGAATGTTTGCTGTCTGTATACATTAATTAATGAAATACTATTTTTAAAGCTTGTTGAAATTTATATTACAATATTTAAATCACAACAAACTAAGACAAGTCCCTATGCCCCCTCCCCTCTTAATAAGCCCCTTAGAGAAAATAAACTAAGTGTTTGAAATTGTAATGTAAAAACAAAACAATGTGGACCTATCTGACCTGCAATTTTGGGCCAAAACAATGAAAACCAAAAAGACAAAGTCTGGCCTAGCCATGATATCATAAGAATGGTGTATAATCTCTGGTCCGTGATGCTATTTACACCAAGACAGTTTGGTAGTGTATATATAATTGTGGGCATTACTGTGTGATCAGGATTGATGAATGTGCCAAGCCCTAGCAACATTGACTGGTGTCCACATTTTGAATACAGTTTTGAAATATTCTCTGTATATTTCTATTCATTTGTAATATACAAAAACATGAATTTATAGAATTGATTCCTTAACTATAGCCTGACAAATAATTTGTCATTCTAAGACAAGTGGAAGTGAATAAATATTATTTTCGCTGATTATTACCAACACTTCCTGCAAGGAAGCCCCTTTTAAAAACACTGGTTGATAGTCCTGAGCAATGGTCAATGTCCCACAGAGCCGCGTAATATCTACATGTCTGTAGTGTCCATGGTCATTCAAAGGGGAGATTTCCAAAATTGAATCTTGTGTGTATTTTAATGTGATTAAATCTCACTGAATTTAAAAAAATAATTTGGGTATCAGGGTAGAGAGGAGAGCTCGAGGATCGTTGGCCTGGGTGAGTTGTCTACCTTAGGGAGCTAGGTTCATCTGCCTTCTGTTCATTTCATGGGATCTTATTTGATTCCTGTCTGGCAGTCAATAACAAGTCTGTTGTTTCCAATCTGTCACCGTGTCAGTAATTGTCAGTATATTTTGTTTAGAAAAATGACTGTTATCCACAATAGACTACCTCAAACCTTCGATTACGCTCATTCATTATAATGTATACCTCTGTTGACAGCATTGTCAGAAACAGGCAGTTGACATCATGGACGTGTGTCAGGAAGTGTACTGGTAGAATTTTCCATTTGTAACATACAAGTTAAACACTCATTCAACAGCTGCTAGACTTGGCCTGGTAGAAGACACACTAGCTACATCCTCACTACACCTTCTGGTTTGAACTCCTAAGCCCAGATTATGAATCAGAATTACCTCCTCCTTCAGTGCACAGACAAGCCCTGATTTCCGTTTATGTAGTTGTAGGATACTGGTGCTCAATGCTACATGGCCCATGAGCCCACGAGGGGAGTGTACATGTGGGCTAGGTGTTACTCAGTACTGAAATTACATATGTATTTGTTACCAGGTCTGTGTTAATGTAATGCACTCAGCTCAATCTAGATTTACTATCTTGTTTTGTTATGTTTGACAATTTGCTGTTGACCTTGATAGACTTTTGTGTGTGCATCAGCATTATCATGTACGTTCTCCTGTCTCTACGTGACATTATTTATGTTTTGTTGCAACTAGTTGTGTTGAACCAGGCATGTGGAAGTGGAGGGTGTTACAAGTCGTACTGCTCTTACTCCCATACGGCTGATTGTGCAGTCAGTTAAAATCATGGTCAGTTATCAAATAATGTAGTTAAACCTTGTAAAGGCCATAACTTGATTGAGCAGTGATGATGGCCAATTCCTTGTAGCTCATGTGTCATGTTTTATTCCCACAACATTTTCTTTATGATGATGTGAGTTTTTATGTGTGCTCCTGTTAGTGTGTCCTTTGCACATAGCCCCCGTCTTAGGACAACTAAAGCCATGTGTCCAGCCACATATACACTCAGTCATATAAACCCACCCATCTCAGTGCCCTGTGGACATGGTGGAGGAGTACAAGAATGTGCATTCCATCAAGTAAATTCTGTATTGTTTATGGCCATATTTTTAAGTGTTCCATCTTGGTCTTACGTTTATCACTATCAGATTTCTGACAAATATGTGGTTCATTTCTGCATTTTATAATGCTTTTTGAAATGACTACTATGTCCCTGATGCAACTCTATATAGTCCTTAAGTTGACCCATTTCAGATGGAGTGATGCAGTTTGTAATTCAACTAGCAATTTGTATTTTTATCATTTCATGTTATGTGAGAAAACCTCATATCGGTACTGCTCTGCATGCTGGGACTACGAGCTGTTGTCTCTGTTACTGCTCTGCATGCTGGGACTACGCACTGCTGTGTCTGGTACTGCTCTGCATGCTGGGACTACGAGCTGCCGTGCGGTGTCTGGTACTGCTCTGCATGCTGGGACTATGAGCTGCTGTGTCTGTTACTGCTCTGCATGCTGGAACTACGAGCTGTTGTCTCTTTTACTGCTCTGCATGCTGGGACTACGCACTGCTGTGTCTGGTACTGCTCTGCATGCTGAGACTATGAGCTGCTGTGTCTGGTACTGCTCTGCATGCTGGAACTACGAGCTGCTGTGTCTGGTACTGCTCTGCATGCTGGAACTACGAGCTGCTGTGTGGTGTCTGGTAGTGCTCTGCATGCTGAGACTATGAGCTGCTGTGTCTGGTACTGCTCTGCATGCTGGAATTACGAGCTGCTGTGTCTGGTACTGCTCTGCATGCTGGAACTACGAGCTGCTGTGTGGTGTCTGGTACTGCTCTGCATGCTGAGACTGAGCTGCGGTCTCTGGTACTGCTCTGCATGCTGAGACTACGAGCTGCTGTGTCTGTTACTGCTCTGCATGCTGGAACTATGAGCTGCTGTGTGGTGTCTGGTAGTGCTCTGCATGCTGAGACTGAGCTGCGGTCTCTGGTACTGCTCTGCATGCTGAGACTACGAGCTGCTGTGTCTGTTACTGCTCTGCATGCTGGAACTATGAGCTGCTGTGTGGTGTCTGGTAGTGCTCTGCATGCTGAGACTATGACCTGCTGTCTCTGTTACCGCCCTGCATGCTGGGACAAGAGCTGCCGTGCGGTGTCTGGTACTGCTCTGCATGCTGGGACTACGAGCTGCTGTGTCTGGTACTGCTGTGCATGCTAGGACTATGAGCTGCTGTGTGGTGTCTGGTACTGCTCTGCATGCTGGGACTACAAACTGCAGTCTCTGTTACTGCTCTGCATGCTGAGACTATGAGCTGCTGTCTCTGTTTCTGCCCTGCATGCTGAGACTACAAACTGCTGTGTGGTGTCTGGTACTGCTCTGCATGCTGAGACTATGAGCTGCTGTCTCTGTTACTGCTCTGCATGCTGGGACTATGAGCTGCTGTCTCTGTTACTGCTCTGCATGCTGGGACTACGAGCTGCTGTCTCTGTTACTGCTCTGCATGCTGGGACTATGAGCTGCTGTGTGGTGTCTGGTTCTGCTCTGCATGCTGGGACTACGAGCTGCTGTCTCTGTTACTGCTCTGCATGCTGGGACTACGAGCTGCTGTCTCTGTTACTGCTCTGCATGCTGGGACTACGAGCTGCTGTCTCTGTTACTGCTCTGCATGCTGGGACTACAAACTGCTGTGTGGTGTCTGGTAGTGTTCTGCATGCTGAGACTATGAGCTGCTGTCTCTGTTACTGCTCTGCATGCTAGGACTATGAGCTGCTGTGTCTGGTACTGCTCTGCATGCTAGGACTATGAGCTTCCGTGCGGTGTCTGGTACTGCTCTGCATGCTGAGACTATGAGCTGCTGTGTCTGGTACTGCTCTGCATGCTAGGACTATGAGCTGCTGTGTGGTGTCTGGTACTGCTCTGCATGCTGAGACTATGAGCTGCTGTCTCTGTTACTGCTCTGCATGCTGGGACTACGAGCTGCTGTGTCTGGTACTGCTCTGCATGCTGGGACTACAAACTGCTGTCTCTGTTACTGCTCTGCATGCTGGGACTACAAACTGCTGTGTGGTGTCTGGTACTGCTCTGCATGCTGAGACTATGAGCTGCTGTCTCTGTTACTGCTCTGCATGCTGGGACTACGAGCTGCTGTCTCTGTTACTGCTCTGCATGCTGGGACTACAAACTGCTGTGTGGTGTCTGGTAGTGCTCTGCATGCTGAGACTATGAGCTGCTGTCTCTGTTACTGCTCTGCATGCTGGGACTACGAGCTGCTGTGTCTGGTACTGCTCTGCATGCTGGGACTACGAGCTGAGGTCTTTGGTACTGCTCTGCATGCTGGGACTATGAGCTGCTGTGTCTGGTTCTGCACTCCATACTTGGGCTACGAGCTGCTGTGTCTATTACTGCTCTGCATACTTGGGCTACGAGCTGCTGTGTCTATTACTGCTCTGCATGCTGGAACTATGAGCTGCTGTGTCTATTACTGCTCTGCATGCTGGAACTATGAGCTGCTGTGTCTATTACTGCTCTGCATGCTGGAACTATGAGCTGCTGTGTATATTACTGCTCTGCATGCTGGGACTACGAGCTGCTGTGTCTGGTACTGCTCTGCATGCTGGGACTACGAGCTGCTGTGTCTATTACTGCTCTGCATGCTGGAACTATGAGCTGCTGTGTCTGGTACTGCTCTGCATGCTGGGACTACGAGCTGCTGTGTCTATTACTGCTCTGCATGCTGGGACTACGAGCTGCTGTGTCTATTACTGCTCTGCATGCTGGGACTATGAGCTGCTGTGTCTGGTACTGCTCTGCATGCTGGGACTACGAGCTGCTGTGTCTATTACTGCTCTGCATGCTGGGACTATGAGCTGCTGTGTCTATTACTGCTCTGCATGCTGGGACTATGAGCTGCTGTGTCTATTACTGCTCTGCATGCTGGGACTACGAGCTGCTGTGTCTATTACTGCTCTGCATGCTGGGACTATGAGCTGCTGTGTCTATTACTGCTCTGCATGCTGGGACTACGAGCTGCTGTGTGGTGGCCAGACACATGATATGTTGAGATGTCATTATGGCAAGTTCCCGGAACGGGTGAAATGGGTCACAGTGAGTGCTGTTGTGAGCTGCAGGGAAACATCCTATTCCCCTTACCCTAGGAATGAATTTTGACATCATGTTTTTGTATGCTTGATTCCTATGTTCCTTGTTATATAGATAATGTGGCTGTCACAGTGAGCCTGAAGAAGGTGAATGGTCAGTATATGTCACATGCTTCTGGAACTGGAGACAGTGTCTTGTTTCCATGATTGAAACCATATTTGTATACTTCTATTTCCTCCAAATGTTAATGAAACAACCCATGTTGTACGTGTCATCTGAATCCTGGCTGTGTGTAGTTGTGGCTCGGTGGCACAGAAGATGCTTCGCTTTTTGACAGCTGTACGTTATATATGTTCTGCCTCAGTTGGCATGTATAATGTTTCAAATAAATTTATACACTAGATCCTTTATTCCCTTGTCTTACTGCGAGAATGTGTGTTGTTGTATTGTGCCTCTTAGATCTCCATCAGTTACTGTGGACCTATTCAAACCTGGATTCCACACATACATACACAGATTAAACTTGGTACTTGGAATAATCAATTATGATGATGTTTTGATTCTGTGGAGTGACAGTGCTGTAACTTAACCTTTCACCAGTTAACATCTTGTTTCCAGGTAGGGATAGTGCTCACTGTTGTTCCTAGGTAGGATGGTTCTAGCTGATGTTCCTGGGTAGGGATGTTCTCACTGCTGGTAGGATGGTTCTCACTGTTGTTCCTGGGTAGGGATGTTCTTTGTTGTTCCTGGGTAGGATGGTTCTAGCTGTTGTTTCTGGGTAGGATGGTTCTCACTGTTGTTTCTGGGTAGGGATGTTCTCACTGTTGTTTCTGGGTAGGGATATTCTCACTGTTGTTTCTGGATAGGGATGTTCTTGGTTGTTTCTGGATAGGGATGGTTCTCACTGTTGTTTCTGGGTAGGATGGTTCTAGCTGATGTTCCTGGGTAGGATGGTTCTAGCTGTTGTTTCTGGTTAGGATGGTTCTCACTGTTGTTCCTGGGTAGGGATGGTGCTCACTGTTGTTCCTAGGTAGGGTGGTTCTCACAGTTGTTTCTGGGTAGGATGTTCTCACTGTTGTTTCTTGGTAGGATGGTTCTCACTGTTGTTTCTGGGTAGGGATGTTCTCACTGTTGTTTCTGGGTACGGATGTCCTCACTGCTGTTTCTGGGTAGGATGGTTCTCACTGTTGTTTCTGGGTTGGATGGTTCTCACTGCTGTTTCTGGGTAGGATGGTTCTCACTGCTGTTTCTGGGTAGGGATGTTTTCACTGCTGTTTTGGGGTTGGATGGTTCTCACTATTGTTTCATGGTAGGAAGGTTCTCACTGTTGTTTCTGGGTTGGATGGTTCTCACTGCTGTTTCTGGGTAGGATGGTTCTCACTGCTGTTTCTGGGTAGGGATGTTCCAGCTGTTGTTTCTGGGTAGGATGGTTCTCACTATTGTTTCCTGGGTAGGATGGTTCTCACTGTTGTTTCTGGGTTGGATGGTTCTCACTGTTGTTTCTCGGTACAATGGTTCTCACTGCTGTTTCTGGGTAGGATGGTTCTCACTGTTGTTTCTGGGTAGGGATGTTCTCACTGCTGTTTCTGATGTGGATGGTTCTCACTGCTGTTTCTGGGTTGGATTGTTCTCACTGCTGTTTCTTGGTAGGATGGTTCACACTATTGTTTCTGGGTAGGATGGTTCTCACTGTTGTTTCTGGGTAGGGATGTTCCAGCTGTTGTTTCTGGGTAGGGATGTTCTCACTGCTGTTTCTGGGTTGGATGGTTCTCACTGCTGTTTCTGGGTAGGATGGTTCTCACTGTTGTTTCTGGGTAGGGATGTTCCAGCTGTTGTTTCTGGGTAGGGATGTTCTCACTGCTGTTTCTGGGTAGGATGGTTCTCACTGTTGTTTCTGGGTTGGATGGTTCTCACTGTTGTTTCTGGGTTGGATGGTTCTCACTGCTGTTTCTGGGTAGGGATGTTCCAGCTGTTGTTTCTGGGTAGGGATGTTCTCACTGCTGTTTCTGGGTAGGATGGTTCTCACTGTTGTTTCTGGGTTGGATGGTTCTCACTGCTGTTTCTGGGTAGGATGGTTCTCACTGTTGTTTCTGGGTAGGATGGTTCTCACTGCTGTTTCTGGGTAGGGATGTTCCAGCTGTTGTTTCTGGGTAGGGATGTTCTCACTGCTGTTTCTGGGTAGGATGGTTCTCACTGTTGTTTCCTGGGTAGGACAGTTCTCACTGTTGTTTCTGGGTAGGGATTTTCTTGCTGTTCTTTCTGGGTAGGGATGTTCCAGCTGTTGTTTCTGGGTAGGGATGTTCTAGCTGTTGTTCCTGGATAGGGATGTTCCAGCTGTTGTTTCTGGGTAGGGATGTTCTAGCTGTTGTTCCTGGGTAGGGATGTTCCAGCTGTTGTTTCTGGGTAGGGATGTTCTAGCTGTTGTTCCTCGGTAGGGATGTTCCAGCTGTTGTTCCTGGGTAGGGATGTTCCAGCTGTTGTTTCTGGGTAGGGATGTTCTAGCTGTTGTTCCTGGGTAGGGATGTTCTGGCTGTTGTTCCTGGGTAGGGATGTTCCAGCTGTTGTTTCTGGGTAGGGATGTTCTAGCTGTTGTTCCTGGGTAGGGATGTTCTGGCTGTTGTTTCTAGGTAGGGATGTTCTAGCTGTTGTTCCTGGGTAGGGATGTTCTCGCTGTTGTTCCTGGATAGGGATGTTCCAGCTGTTGTTTCTAGGTAGGGATATTCCAGCTGTTGTTTCTGGGTAGGGATGTTCTAGCTGTTGTTCCTGGGTAGGGATGTTCTTGCTGTTGTTCCTGGATAGGGATGTTCCAGCTGTTGTTTCTGGGTAGGGATGTTCTAGCTGTTGTTCCTGGGTACGGATGTTCTCGCTGGTGTTTCTGGGTAGGGATGTTCTAGCTGTTGTTTCTAGGTAGGGATGTTCCAGCTGTTGTTTCTGGGTAGGGATGTTCTCACGGCTGTTTCTGGGTAGGATGGTTCTCACTGTTGTTTCTGGGTTGGATGGTTCTCACTGCTGTTTCTGGGTAGGGATGTTCCAGCTGTTGTTTCTGGGTAGGGATGTTCTCACTGCTGTTTCTGGGTAGGATGGTTCTCACTGTTGTTTCTGGGTTGGATGGTTCTCACTGCTGTTTCTGGGTAGGATGGTTCTCACTGTTGTTTCTGGGTTGGATGGTTCTCACTGCTGTTTCTGGGTAGGATGGTTCTCACTGTTGTTTCTGGGTTGGATGGCTCTCACTGCTGTTTCTGGGTAGGGATGTTCCAGCTGTTGTTTCTGGGTAGGGATGTTCTCACTGCTGTTTCTGGGTAGGATGGTTCTCACTGTTGTTTCCTGGGTAGGACAGTTCTCACTGTTGTTTCTGGGTAGGGATTTTCTTGCTGTTGTTTCTGGGTAGGGATGTTCTAGCTGTTGTTCCTGGGTAGGGATGTTCCAGCTGTTGTTTCTGGGTAGGGATGTTCTAGCTGTTGTTCCTGGGTAGGGATGTTCTCGCTGTTGTTTCTAGGTAAGGATGTTGTAGCTGTTGTTCCTGGGTAGGGATGTTCTCGCTGTTGTTCCTGGGTAGGGATGTTCCAGCTGTTGTTTCTGGGTAGGGATGTTCTAGCTGTTGTTCCTGGGTAGGGATGTTCTCGCTGTTGTTTCTAGGTAGGGATGTTCTAGCTGTTGTTCCTGGGTAGGGATGTTCTCGCTGTTGTTCCTGGATAGGGATGTTCCAGCTGTTGTTTCTAGGTAGGGATATTCCAGCTGTTGTTTCTGGGTAGGGATGTTCTAGCTGTTGTTCCTGGGTAGGGATGTTCTCGCTGTTGTTCCTGGATAGGGATGTTCCAGCTGTTGTTTCTGGGTAGGGATGTTCTCACTGCTGTTTCTGGGTAGGATGGTTCTCACTGTTGTTTCCTGGGTAGGACAGTTCTCACTGTTGTTTCTGGGTAGGGATTTTCTTGCTGTTCTTTCTGGGTAGGGATGTTCCAGCTGTTGTTTCTGGGTAGGGATGTTCTAGCTGTTGTTCCTGGATAGGGATGTTCCAGCTGTTGTTTCTGGGTAGGGATGTTCTAGCTGTTGTTCCTGGGTAGGGATGTTCCAGCTGTTGTTTCTGGGTAGGGATGTTCTAGCTGTTGTTCCTGGGTAGGGATGTTCCAGCTGTTGTTTCTGGGTAGGGATGTTCTAGCTGTTGTTCCTGGGTAGGGATGTTCTCGCTGTTGTTTCTAGGTAGGGATGTTCTAGCTGTTGTTCCTGGGTAGGGATGTTCTCGCTGTTGTTCCTGGGTAGGGATGTTCCAGCTGTTTCTGGGTAGGGATGTTCTAGCTGTTGTTCCTGGGTAGGGATGTTCTCGCTGTTGTTTCTAGGTAGGGATGTTCTAGCTGTTGTTCCTGGGTAGGGATGTTCTCGTTGTTGTTCCTGGATAGGGATGTTCCAGCTGTTGTTTCTGGGTAGGGATGTTCTAGCTGTTGTTCCTGGGTAGGGATGTTCTCGCTGGTGTTTCTGGGTAGGGATGTTCTAGCTGTTGTTTCTAGGTAGGGATGTTCCAGCTGTTGTTCCTGGGTAGGGATGTTCCAGCTGTTGTTCCTGGGTAGGGATGTTCCAGCTGTTGTTTCTGGGTAGGGATGTTCTAGCTGTTGTTCCTGGGTAGGGATGTTCCAGCTGTTGTTTCTGGGTAGGGATGTTCCAGCTGTTGTTTCTGGGTAGGGATGTTCCAGCTGTTGTTTCTGGGTAGGGATGTTCTAGCTGTTGTTCCTGGGTAGGGATGTTCTCGCTGTTGTTCCTGGGTAGGGATGTTCTCGCTGTTGTTCCTGGATAGGGGTGGATGTAGCTGTTTTTACCCTCTAAAGGCTTTGTTCCACAGGGGTTTTGCAATCATTTATCCAGGGATGAAAATTGTCTGTGGATATTGTTATGTCAAGGGTAATTATTGTGATACCTGCCATTACAACATAACACGTCCCATTTTAATTCTGGAAACCCAAAAGTCCAGAACGAATCGGTCTTTGCCGACTCTCGGTCAAAGGTATTTACAAAATTGAACATGCTGTTTTCATGGGAACATACCAAGGAAGAAAAAATGAAAAAAAATTGTTAAAAAACTCAATATTTACACTATCTCGCCCATGGGCCTGCCCATGGGCGAAGACTGGCCCATGGGCGAGAATATGTTCCTTTACTCAAAACTCATGTTTTTGTTTCACAAATACATTAAATGTAGTCATTCAAGTATCATGACACAAAATTTAACTCATTTTAACTTAATTCAACTATTTTATAGCGATATTGAAATATTTTGCCTATGGGGGAGAAAAAGGTTTGGCCCATGGGCGAGAATATGTTCCTTTACTTAAAACTCATGTTTTTGTTTCGCAAATACATTAAATGTATTTATTCAAGTATCATGACACAAAATTAATTCAACTATTTTATAGCGATATTGAAATATTTGGCCCATGGGGGAGAAAAAGGTTTGGCCCATGGGCAGGCCCATGGGCGAGAATATGTTCCTTTACTTAAAACTCATGTTTTTGTTTCGCAAATACATTAAATGTAGTCATTCAAGTATCATGACACAAAATTTAACTCATTTTAACTTAATTCAACTATTTTATAGCGATATTGAAATATTTGGCCCATGGGGGAGAAAAAGGTTTGGCCCATGGGCGAGAATATTTTCCTTTGCTCAACAGTTTTAGTTTCGCAAATACATAAAGGTTTTATAAGCATGACACATGATTCAACTCATTTTACCTTAATTCAACTATTAAAATATTTCGCCCATGTTTTCGTCAGTCCCTTTAAATAATTAACTAATTGTGTGCAGAGTATATTGTATCATGTGAAATATATTTTATATTATATCATTACATTACTATTTAAAAAGGGCATTTGGTTGGATGTTTCCTTTACAGAAGTTTTACAAATTTCACCTTTTTTACATATTGAAACGATACGCCAATTCATTGGCGACATTTTCCAACACATTAAAGTTTAGTTAGTTTCTTTTTCATTTCCCATTTTATGTCTCGTTGAAACATCACACTGGGAAAGTAAGTGACACTAAGTATGCAATATACAGGTACACGTGCGCGTATTTTAATGGCAACAAAAAACGATTCGTCTTTCATTGCATAACGTCTGGCTGAATCTCTCACATTCTAACGAAATCTCGAAATAATTATTTAATTATATGCGGTGTCGAACTGACCAATGGGAATTGTGTTTACAGGCGATTGAGGAAAACTTGAGTGAATATTATAACACTAAAGCAACTTTTAAATGCATTGTCACTTTTGGTATGAAAATGGTAACAGTTCAGAAAAAACAACAGCCTTCTTATGATAATTCTCATATTCTCATTAGGACGTTGTATCTAATTATAGTGTCGGCCTTATTTACAGGTGATTCTACAATACCTGCTCTCGGTCAATTACGATCTACCACACCACGCGTGAATAAACAGTTATGCAGGTGTTGCTGTGGGCAAATACCTAGCCTGAAAATGTATATTTATTTTGTGAATACATGTTTTACAAATTTTCGTTGATATGTGGATATATTAAGCACAAAGACAAAAAAATGTTTATGAAAGATGAATTAGTGCCTTGAAATATTCATCGAGATGTGTATCATCGTTTAATGGGGTCATTCAATAAAAGTATGTTTGGAGGAGATATCAAAGGAGCCGGCCAATATACACAGTGTCGTCCAGTGAACTACCATCCCAACCTGTCAAAAATAGTTATGTAATCGGTACACAAATATATTTGATGCGATGTCAGTGTGGAAGGAGTTTGAATTACGTCTCAGGTTATTATTGTTTGGAGTTCACATTTTTGGGCATTTCAGATACTAATTGAACAGAGTTCACCTCCACATGTCCACTTTAGTGAGACAGACTGTAACCAAAAATGCAATGAGCCGTAGCTCCTAATCCCTTATAACAACGGTAACAACAACCAGGGTGAGGACACAGTAAGGTTAAACCGTGTCCAACAGACAATGTCAGGTGGCTAACGCCATATCTCCAATCAAGTCAGCTGTTTTTAAGCGCATAATTATGTTTTTACATATTGAAATAAAAGGAATTAAAAAAATCATATTTAACAAACCTACACATTACCAAATACAAAACCTTATAACCCTTTCTAGACTTCGTTCCAATTAACCTGGATCATTCAACTCGCTCGCGAAGGTCGTATAGGACTTTTAAGTGAATACATCTACAGTGTATTATATATACTCATGATGAGCAATTATTTTCGTTCCTAATTCGAATGAGCACATTCTGAGGCTAAATCTGCAAAAGGACAGACAAAATATTTCTTTGTACAATGCAAACGATACAAGCGTAGCGGCTGATAATAGAGACAATGATTTAATAATCTGCAATATATCATTTGTACTCGTTCAATTTATTGTAGATATTGAAGTGATTGTAAAGTTTCAAGGAGTACTAAAATGTTGTGGTATTATGATGTATTTAGAATATGAATAGCGAAAAACAGTCACCAGTATCGGATGTACATGTATAACTTGTCTTGCATCACCACGCTTGTGTCGAGGCCCATGGTCATAAAACTAATCGGTCCCATAAAAGGAGCAAATAGTTTCGCAGATAGTACTTGCCATGGTTCACTCCCAATTGACAGACGACCTAATCATCAGACAGACCAGTCAAGTGTGACCAGTGTACCTGCCTGATTTTACCTCCTAATTACTGAGCTGCCCAATACTGTCATACTGTGGGCAGAATAAGCGGCGCCAACTTGTTGAGTGATACAGATTAACCAGATTATGATTGTGTTTGTAAGTTTCGTTTAATCTGTGTCGGGTTGCAGTTGTTTTATTAGGCAAGACCAGGGGGTAGTTTTTTCAATGAAACCTTTTAGCCGTTGAGTTTGTTTTGTATTCATTTGATTAAATACATTGTTAGGTAGAATAATAACACGTTATATGGATTAAACATCTCCCTAACCTGAGTATAATCTCATATGTACTCTAAGTACGGTACTATATTACTTTGCGGAGACATTGAGTATAATTTTTGAGTTGGCATTGTATGCTGTCTGAATGACTTTATACAAATCCCTGCCTCAATGGACCCGTGAAGATCTTCAACAACCCATTCTTGGCGTAAAAGGGCGACAGCGCTTGTCGTAAGAGGCGACTACCGGGTTCGGGTGGTCAGACTCGCTGACTTGGTTTGATGCATGTCATCGTATCCCAATTGCGTGGATCGATGCACATGATTTCAATCACTGGATTGTCTGGTCTAGACTCGATTATTTACAGAAAGCCGTCATACAGCTGAAATATTGCTAAGTGCGGCGTTATACAACTAACAAACAAACAGAATTTTGAGGAATTCACAACAATCTCTATGACGAGGTATGCATATCTTGCAATCAACCTGAATCCAGTTACTGGAATGTCAAACCTGCTTGGTTAAAACAAGAATTGCAGTTAGATCCGCTATATACTGTAGATCTCCTGTAGTCAAGAGATGCAATAGCGAGGCAGAACTATGTCAATTTATGAGGGACAGACAGCTACTCGAACATATAAAAACATAGCAGCCAAAGATAAAAAATGAAATCATATCATGTACAAAAATAGAAATCATATCAACACAAAAAGAGAAAGTGTATGAGTACTAAAACTTGCAATAGATATGTGTACCCTACGACAGTCTACAACACACTGACATCGCATCAAATATATTTGTGTACCGATTACATAACTCTTACTGACAGGGTGGGGTGGTAGTTCACGCGAAACGGATGACACTGTGAAATAGAGTGGCTCCTTTGATATTGCCTCACACCATACTTTTAATGAATGACCCATTAAACGATGATGCGGCGTTATACAACTAACAAACAAACAAAATTTTGAGGAATTCACAACAATCTCTATGACAAGGTATGCATATCTTGCAATCAACCTGAATCCAGTTACTGGAATGTCAAACCCGCTTGGTTAAAACAAGAATTGCAGTTAGATCCGCTATATGCTGTAGATCTCCTGTAGTCAAGAGATGCAATAGCGAGGCAGAACTATGTCAATTTATGAGGGACAGACAGCTACTCGAACATATAAAAACATAGCACCCTAAGATAAAAATGAAATCATATCATGAACGAAAATAGAAATTATATCAACACAAAAAGAGAAAGTATATGAGTACTAAAACTTGCAATAGATATGTGTACCCTACGACAGTCTACAACACACTGACATCGCATCAAATATATTTGTGTACCGATTACATAACTCTTACTGACATGGTGGGGTGGTAGTTCACGCGAAACGGACGACACTGTGAAATAGAGCGGCTCCTTTGATATCGCCTCACAACATACTTTTAATGAATGACCCATTAAACGATGATGCGGCGTTATACAACTAACAAACAAACAAAATTTTGAGGAATTCACAACAATCTCTATGACGAGGTATGCATATCTTGCAATCAACCTGAATCCAGTTACTGGAATGTCAAACCCGCTTGGTTAAAACAAGAATTGCAGTTAGATCCGCTATATGCTGTAGATCTCCTGTAGTCAAGAGATGCAATAGCGAGGCAGAACTATGTCAATTTATGAGGGACAGACAGCTACTCGAACATATAAAAACATAGCACCCTAAGATAAAAATAAAATCATATCATGAACGAAAATAGAAATTATATCAACACAAAAAGAGAAAGTATATGAGTACTAAAACTTGCAATAGATATGTGTAAACCTACGACAGTCTACAACACACTGACATCGCATCAAATATATTTGTGTACCGATTACATAACTCTTACTGACAGGGTGGGGTGGTAGTTCACGCGAAACGGACGACACTGTGAAATAAAGCGGCTCCTTTGATATCGCCTCACAACATACTTTTAATGAATGACCCATTAAACGATGATACACATCAGGATCGCGGAGAAAATACAAGAATCGTTCTCGTTGAATACATATATCAAGGCACCGATTCATCTTTCATAAACTTTTTGTGTCTTTGTGCTTAATATATCCACATATCAACGAAAATATGTAATACATGTATCCACAAAAAATATACATGTACAGGCTAGATATTTGCCCACAGCAACACCTGCATCACTGTTTATTCACGTGTGGTGTGGCAGATTGTAATTGACTGAGAGCAAGTATTGTAGAATCACCTGTAAATAAGTCCGACACTATAATTAGACACAACGTACTAATGAGAATATGAGAATTATCATAAGAAGGCTGTTGCGTTTTTCTTAACTATTACCATTTTCATACCAAAAGTGACAATGCAGTTAAAAGTTGCTTTAGTGTCACAATATTCACTCACGTTTTCCTCAATGGCATTGAAACATAATTCCCACTGGTCAGTTCGACACCGCATGTAATTAAATAATTATTTCGAGATTTCGTTAGAATGTAAGATATTCAGCCAAACGTTATGCAATAAAAGACGAATAGTTTTTTCCAATAAAATATGCGCACTCGTAACTGTATATTGCATACCTAGTGCCACGTAATTGCCCAGTGTGATGTATCAACGGGACATGAAATGGGAAATGAAATAGAAACTAACTAAACTTTAATGGGTTGTGGAAAATAACTCCAATGAATTGGAGTACACGCACATGAATTCGTATGATAAACTGTCAAAACATTTTGAGAGGTAAGGCCGGATTCATTAAAGATCGCTACAATATGTAAAACAGGTGAAATTTGTAGAACTTCTATAAAGAAAACATCCAACCAAATGCCCTTTTTAAATAGTAATGTAATGATATAACATAAAGTATATTTCACATGATACAGTATACTTTGCACACAGTTAGTTGATGCTTTAAAGGGACTGACGAAAACATGGGAGAAATATTTTAATAACGCTGTAAAATAGTTGAATTAAGTTAAAATTTGTTAAATTATGTGACATGAAACTTCTAAGAACTATATATATGCGACACTAAAACACAAGTTTTGAGCAAAGGGAAATATTCTCGCCCATGCGCCTGCCCATGGGCCAAACCTTTCCTCACCCATGGGTGAAATATTTCAATAACGCTATAACATAGTTGAATTAAGTAAAATTGAGTAACATTATGTGCCATGAAAATGGTAAGAACACCTCGAGTATTTGCGAAACAAAAACATAAGTTTTGAGAAAAGGAAAATATTCTCGCCCATGGGCCAAACCTTTTTCTCGCCCATGGGCGAAATATTTCAATATCGCTATAAAATAGTTGAATTAGGTTAAAATGAGTTACATTTTGTGTCACGATACTTGAATGAATACATTTAATGTATTTGCGAAACAAAAACATGAGTTTTAAGTAAAGGAACATATTCTCGCCCATGGGCCAAATCTTTTTCTTGCCCATGGGCGAAATATTTCAATATTGCTATAAAATAGTTGAATTAAGTTAAAATAAGTTAAATTTTGTGTCTTGATACTTGAATGAATACATTTAATGTATTTGCGAAACAAAAACATGAGTTTTAAGTAAAGGAACATATTTTCGCCCATGGGCCTGCCCATCGGCAAAACCTTTTTCTCATCCATGGGCAAAATATTTCAATATCGCTATAAAATAGTTGAATTAAGTTAAAATGAGTTAAATTTTGTTTGATGATACTTGAATGACTACATTTAATGTATTTGCGAAACAAAAACATTAGTTTTGAGTAAAGGAACATATTCTCGCCCATGGGCCTGCCCATGGGCCTACCCATGGGCCAGTCTTCGCCCATGGGCCACATGGGCGATATAGTATAAATATTGAGTTTTTTAACAATTTTCTTTTCATTTTTTCTTCCTTGGTATGTTCCCATGAAAACAGCATGTTAATTTTGTAAATACCTTTGACCGAGAGTCAGCCACGACCGTAGAGTTTCTGGACTTTTGGGTTTCCAGAATTAAAATGGGACGTGTTACATACAAATCCCCGGACACCTGACTATCAGTGTATTCTTAAAAAAACATTCTCATCCTTGTGAATAGTTGAACTTAATAACAGAAACACACCTGATAAAAAAACCCTACTTTTTATTAGATGTAACAAATAGAAACAATATATTAACATACTAAGAATTAAGTATTTTAACTGTGTTAACATTGTCAAAATAGTCACATCCTTAAGACTAGCAACATGCTTACAACCTTACAACCAAGTTGGTAATACTGAAAATATCACTCACCAGATTAAATACTACCCTGATACAAATACAGGTAGAAAAACTGAGGCTGAGGCCCAAAGAAAGTGAAGAGCGCGAATGTCTCCTAGATAGATGGTGGATGACACAGCAGTTATTGACATTGACTTATCTATAAGTTCATGTTCAGTTGTCGGATCCCATGTTCCCTAACACATGTCAGCACACTATCTCCACACAGGATTAGAAACTACCTGCTCCCTTCATGTGGGATGATGAGGTCCAATCAAACAAACCCTGTCTTACATGTTGATTGTCTGATGTAAACCAGTTTATGCATATTTAGTGAACTCGATCATTCAATAGAAGCAGCTGGATCTAGAAAGTGTATTTCACCACCCACCAGTGATATTTGATCAACACTGTTTACAATTAGCATAATCTGCATAATATCTAAAGTCCAAAATACATTAATGCAAATAACCTATGTCTCGATGTATGTTGCCTACTAAAACCACTGAACAGACAGTGCATGGTATTGCAATTTTACATGGTCTCAAAAATGAGAATAACAACTGTATAAATAAATATATCAAAGGTTTTAGTTTATAACCAAAACAAAAGTGTAACAATATATCACAAAGTCCTTTCCAAAATTCATACAAGAAATCCAGAAAAACATATCGTACAAACGTGCCTGTGTAAATCTAACAAAATACTATATAGATGTTTAGATGCATCAAGTTGGTCGGCTTGAACACAAGGACATCTGCTGCTGGTCCTGCACACTAGTTCTTCTAGGGGCATAGTAATGCCGTGGTGATGTAGTCCACCTTGATCTCGTTGGTGATGGTGAAGCTCCGACTCTGTGCGATGGGGTAGTGACGGCGCTCAGTACACTGGAGAGTTCTGCAACACATACAAGATTCAGCAGCTGCAAGTGCTTCTCTTGCCTTTCCTAGGTGGGTGGAAAGCAATATTTGTTCCTCACATGTACTCCAATGATACCCCTTGATAACAAACATTGCAGTGTTCAGATAGGAGCCTGGCTGACACTAAGATGTTTGTATTGACCAGTGACATTCACGTAGTATTAAATTCTATATACAAATACATTAATGCAAAGTCACATATTCTGTTTGAAAGTGAAGACAGTCCAGGTGATGCTGTATGAATGTGAAGACAGTCCAGTTAATTCTGTATGAATGTGTAGACAGTCCAGGTGATGGTGTATGAATGTGTAGACAGTCCAGGTGATGGTGTATGAATGTGTAGACAGTCCAGGTGATGCTGTATGAATGTGTAGACAGTCCAGGTGATTCTGTATGAATGTGTAGATAGTCCAGGTGATTCTATATGAATGTGTAGACAGTCGAGGTGATGCTGTATGAATGTGTAGACAGTCCAGGTGATTCTGTATGAATGTGTAGACAGTTCAGGTGATAGTGTATGAATGTGTAGTCAGTCGAGGTGATTCTGTATGAATGTGTAGGCAGTCCTGGTGATGGTGTATGAATGTGTAGACAGTTCAGGTGATGGTGTATGAATGTGTTGGCAGTCCAGGTAATTCTGTAGGAATGTGTAGACAGTCCAGGTGATTCTATATGAATGTGTAGACAGTCCATGTGATTCTGTATGAATGTGAAGACAATCCAGGTGATTCTGTATGAATGTGTAGACAGTCCAGGTGATTCTGTATGAATGTGTAGACAGTCCATGTGATTCTGTATGCATGTGTAGACAGTCCAGCTGATTTTGTATGGATGTGTAGACAGTCCAGGTGATTCTGTATGAATGTGAAGACAATCCTGGTGATTCTGTATGAATGTGTAGACAGTTCAGGTGATTCTGTATGAATGTGTAGACAGTTCAGGTGATAGTGTATGAATGTGTAGTCAGTCGAGGTGATTCTGTATGAATGTGTAGACAGTTCAGGTGATAGTGTATGAATGTGTAGACAGTCCAGGTGATTCTATATGAATGTGTAGGCAGTCCTGGTGATGGTGTATGAATGTGTAGACAGTTCAGGTGATGGTGTATGAATGTGTTGGCAGTCCAGGTAATTCTGTATGAATGAGTAGACAGTTCAGGTGATGGTGTATGAATGTGTAGACAGTCCAGGGGATTCTGTATGAATGTGTAGACAGTCCAGCTGATTTTGTATGGATGTGTAGACAGTCCAGGTGTTTCTGTAGGAATGTGTAGGCAGTTCAGGTGATGGTGTATGAATGAGTAGACAGTTCAGGTGATGGTGTATGAATGTGTAGACAGTCCAGGGGATTCTGTATGAATGTGTAGATAGTCCAGGTGATTCTGTATGAATGTGTAGACAGTCCTGGTGATGGTGTATGAATGTGTAGACAGTTCACGTGATGGTGTATGAATGTGTAGGCAGTCAAGGTAATTCCGTATGAATGTGTAGACAGTCCAGGTGATTGTTGTATGTATGTGTAGACAGTTCAGGTCATTCTGTATCCATGTATAGACAGTCCAGGTGATTCTGTAGGAATTTGGAGGCAGTTCAGGTGATGGTGTATGAATGTGTAGACAGTCTAGGTGCTTCTGTATGCATGTGTAGACAGTCCAGGTGCTTCTGTATACATGTGTAGACAGTCCAGGTAATTATGTATGAATGTGTAGACAGTCCAGGTGATTCTGTATGCATGTGTAGACAGTCCAGCTGATTTTGTATGGATGTGTAGACAGTCCAGGTGATTCTGTATGAATGTGAAGACAGTCCAGGTGATTCTGTATGAATGTGTAGACAGTTCAGGTGATAGTGTATGAATGTGTAGTCAGTCGAGGTGATTCTGTATGAATGTGTAGACAGTTCAGGTGATAGTGTATGAATGTGTAGACAGTCCAGGTGATGGTGTATGAATGTGTTGGCAGTCCAGGTAATTCTGTATGAATGTGTAGACAGTTCAGGTGATGGTGTATGAATGTGTAGACAGTCCAGGTGATTCTGTAGGAATGTGTAGACAGTCCAGGTGATTCTATATGAATGTGAAGACAGTCCAGGTGATTCTGTATGAATGTGAAGACAATCCAGGTGATTCTGTATGAATGTGTAGACAGTCCAGGTGATTCTGTATGAGTGTGTAGACAGTTCAGGTAATTCTGTATGAATGTGTAGACAGTTCAGGTGATAGTGTATGAATGTGTAGTCAGTCGAGGTGATTCTGTTTGAATGTGTAGACAGTTCAGGTGATAGTGTATGAATGTGTAGACAGTCGAGGTGATTCTGTATGAATGTGTAGATAGTCCAGGTGATTCTATATGAATGTGTAGGCAGTCCTGGTGATGGTGTATGAATGTGTAGACAGTTCAGGTGATGGTGTATGAATGTGTTGGCAGTCCATGTGATTCTGTATGAATGTGTAGACAGTTCAGGTGATGGTGTATGAATGTGTAGACAGTCCAGGGGATTCTGTATGAATGTGTAGACAGTCCAGGTGATTCTATATGAATGTGAAGACAGGCCAGGTTATTCTGTATGAATGTGTAGACAGTCCAGGTGATTCTATATAAATGTGTAGGCAGTCCTGGTGATGGTGTATGAATGTGTAGACAGTTCAGGTGATGGTGTATGAATGTGTTGGCAGTCCAGGTAATTCTGTATGAATGAGTAGACAGTTCAGGTGATGGTGTATGAATGTGTAGACAGTCCAGGGGATTCTGTATGAATGTGTAGACAGTCCAGCTGATTTTGTATGGATGTGTAGACAGTCCAGGTGTTTCTGTAGGAATGTGTAGGCAGTTCAGGTGATGGTGTATGAATGAGTAGACAGTTCAGGTGATGGTGTATGAATGTGTAGACAGTCCAGGGGATTCTGTATGAATGTGTAGATAGTCCAGGTGATTCTGTATGAATGTGTAGACAGTCCTGGTGATGGTGTATGAATGTGTAGACAGTTCACGTGATGGTGTATGAATGTGTAGGCAGTCAAGGTAATTCCGTATGAATGTGTAGACAGTCCAGGTGATTGTTGTATGTATGTGTAGACAGTTCAGGTCATTCTGTATCCATGTATAGACAGTCCAGGTGATTCTGTAGGAATTTGGAGGCAGTTCAGGTGATGGTGTATGAATGTGTAGACAGTCTAGGTGCTTCTGTATGCATGTGTAGACAGTCCAGGTGCTTCTGTATACATGTGTAGACAGTCCAGGTAATTATGTATGAATGTGTAGACAGTCCAGGTGATTCTGTATGCATGTGTAGACAGTCCAGCTGATTTTGTATGGATGTGTAGACAGTCCAGGTGATTCTGTATGAATGTGAAGACAGTCCAGGTGATTCTGTATGAATGTGTAGACAGTTCAGGTGATAGTGTATGAATGTGTAGTCAGTCGAGGTGATTCTGTATGAATGTGTAGACAGTTCAGGTGATAGTGTATGAATGTGTAGACAGTCCAGGTGATGGTGTATGAATGTGTTGGCAGTCCAGGTAATTCTGTATGAATGTGTAGACAGTTCAGGTGATGGTGTATGAATGTGTAGACAGTCCAGGTGATTCTGTAGGAATGTGTAGACAGTCCAGGTGATTCTATATGAATGTGAAGACAGTCCAGGTGATTCTGTATGAATGTGAAGACAATCCAGGTGATTCTGTATGAATGTGTAGACAGTCCAGGTGATTCTGTATGAATGTGTAGACAGTTCAGGTAATTCTGTATGAATGTGTAGACAGTTCAGGTGATGGTGTATGAATGTGTAGACAGTCCAGGGGATTCTGTATGAATGTGTAGACAGTCCAGGTGATTCTGTTTGAATGTGTAGACAGTTCAGGTGATAGTGTATGAATGTGTAGACAGTCGAGGTGATTCTGTATGAATGTGTAGATAGTCCAGGTGATTCTATATGAATGTGTAGGCAGTCCTGGTGATGGTGTATGAATGTGTAGACAGTTCAGGTGATGGTGTATGAATGTGTTGGCAGTCCATGTGATTCTGTATGAATGTGTAGACAGTTCAGGTGATGGTGTATGAATGTGTAGACAGTCCAGGGGATTCTGTATGAATGTGTAGACAGTCCAGGTGATTCTATATGAATGTGAAGACAGGCCAGGTTATTCTGTATGAATGTGTAGACAGTCCAGGTGATTCTGTATGAATGAGAAGAAAGTCCAGGAGATTCTGTATGAATGTGTAGCTAGTTCAGGTGATTCTGTATGAATGTGTAGACGGTCCAGGTGATTCTGTATGAATGTGAAGTAGTCGAGGTGATTCTGTATGAATGTGTAGACAGTTCAGGTGATAGTGTATGAATGTGTAGACAGTTCAGGTGATGGTATATGAATATGAAGACAGTCCAGGTGATTCTGTATGAATGTGTAGTCAGTTCACGTAATTCTGTATGAATGTGTAGACAGTCCAGGTGATTCTATATGAATGAGAGTGAGTGAGTGAGTGAGATAGGTTTAACGCCGCTTTTAACAGTATTCCAGTTATATCGCGGCGTTTCAGCTATATGTGGGAGGAAAGCCCGAAGTGATGCAGGTCTCAGACATTTACCACTTCGGTGAAACCCACGAGCACGGGTATGGTGCTGACAAACCTAGAAACATAATCAGGGCGAACCAGGATTCGAACCCACAATCATAGGTTTCTGGCGTGCCCAAGGGACGCAACTCTGCACAGCGAATCGCGGCGCCTTAGACGACTGGGCTACCCGTGCCCCCCTAAATGAATGAGAAGACAGTCCAGGTGATTCTGTATGATTGTGTAGACAGTTCAGGTGATAGTGTATGAATGTGTAGTCAGTCGAGGTGATTCTGTATGAATGTGTAGACAGTTCAGGTGATAGTGTATGAATGTGTAGGCAGTCCTGGTGATGGTGTATGAATGTGTAGACAATTCAGGTGATGGTGTATAAATGTGTTGGCAGTCCAGGTAATTCTGTATGAATGTGTAGACAGTCCAGGTGATTCTGTATGAATGTGTAGACAGTTCAGGTGATAGTGTATGAATGTGTAGTCAGTCGAGGTGATTCTGTATGAATGTGTAGACAGTTCAGGTGATAGTGTATGAATGTGTAGACAGTTCAGGTGATAGTGTATGAATGTGTAGTCAGTCGAGGTGATTCTGTATGAATGTGTAGACAGTTCAGGTGATAGTGTATGAATGTGTAGGCAGTCCTGGTGATTGTGTATGAATGTGTAGACAATTCAGGTGATGGTGTATGAATGTGTTGGCAGTCCAGGTAATTCTGTATGAATGTGTAGACAGTTCAGGTGATTCTGTATGAATGTGTAGACAGTTCAGGTGATAGTGTATGAATGTGTAGTCAGTCGAGGTGATTCTGTATGAATGTGTAGACAGTTCAGGTAATAGTGTATGAATGTGTAGTCAGTCGAGGTGATTCTATATGAATGTGTAGGCAGTCCTGGTGATGGTGTATTAATGTGTAGACAGTTCAGGTGATGGTGTATGAATGTGTTGGCAGTCCAGGTAATTCTGTATGAATGAGTAGACAGTCCAGGTCATTCTGTATGCATGTGTAGACAGTCCAGGTGATTATGTATGAATGTGTAGACAGTCCAGGGGATTCTGTATGCATGTGTAGACAGTCCAGCTGATTTTGTATGAATGTGTAGTCAGTCCAGGTGTTTCTGTAGGAATGTGTAGGCAGTTCAGGTAATGGTGGATGAATGTGTTGGTAGTCCAGGTCATTCTGTAGAAATGTGTAGAGTGTCAAGGTGTTTCTGTATGCATGTGTAGACAGTCCAGGTGCTTCTGTGCGAGTAGACAGTCCAGGTGATTCTGTATGTGTAGACAGTCCAGGTAATTCTGTATGTGTAGACAGTCCAGGTAATTCTGTATGTGTAGACAGTCCAGGTAATTCTGTATGTGTAGACAGTCCAGGTAATTCTGTATGTGTAGACAGTCCAGGTGAGGCTGTATGTGGAGACAGTCCAGGTGATGCTGTATGTGTAGACAGTCCAGGTGATGCTGTATGTGTAGACAGTTCAGGTGAGGCTGTATGTGTAGACAGTCCAGGTGAGGCTGTATGTGTAGACAGTCCAGGTGATGCTGTATGTGTAGACAGTCCAGGTGATGCTGTATGTGTAGACAGTCCAGGTGAGGCTGTATGTGTAGACAGTCCAGGTGAGGCTGTATGTGTAGACAGTCCAGGTGATGCTGTATGTGTAGACAGTCCAGGTGAGGCTGTATGTGTAGATATGCTGTCTGAAAGTGGAGAATGCTTACCTTTTGGCCAGTAGTCGATGTTGGTTGACTTCCAGATTGAGGAAATTGGGCGTGGTCACGACTGGCTGTTGAACTAGTTCTGAAGGTCCCTGCAAAAGATGTTAGTTTCAACTACGTATCCTGACACCTACTCAGGTTGACAAAAAGCATTTGAACAAACACTATGAAGCACATATCCATCCAGCACAACTCTGGACTGCTGCCTAGCCACTAACTTGTGTAATCCCTGCTGAGTATGTTCCAAGAATAATAACCTAGAAATACTCTAACAATTCCACCATGAAGTTCCTTGACCTGTGATTCCACCCGTTATCAGTGGTTCTGGTCACTAGTGCATATCTCCTACAAGCTGAGAATTGTCACACAGTGCAACTGTTACCTTCTGCTATGGTAGATAGATGTTAACAGCATCATGTTAACCAATCAAACCAATCAAAACAAATTACGGTGTATCCATGGCTTGTGTAGCAACTTCCTGAAAAGATGCTGTAACATTACTTCTGACTAAAGTAATTTACTTGATATTTAGTACATTCAGTTCAACCACAATCGTGCATGTGTTGTGAATTTCAGATTCAGTTGAAGAGTTAATACAGAATACATTCCTACGATTTAGGGCTGCAACGATACAGGAAGGTCACGATACAATACGCATCTCGATATTCTGGTCACGATACGATACGTATCTCGATACGCAATGATAAAAAAAAAAGACTTAAACTATGTCAAGATTGAACCATTCATGATTGTAGAACAGTCGAAATTATTTTTATAAAAACAAGACTACTGAAGTTGTTAAGCTTCAAAGTGGAACTTTCTCTAACTTTCCTTCAAAACAATTCAAAGTTCAAACACCAGAAGTAGTATAGGTAATACGGGTTCTGCCACAACCCCACTGGAGCCAGATTTATATACCTATACCACCACTACAGGGGGAATTTTTTATGCAAAAATGATGATGCGATTCAACGATCGTCATAAGTCGTATTAAAAGAAACATCAATATTAATTAATAATGGATAAAATTTACTATAGCCCACGAGGATATTGGAAAGGTATAGGAGCAATACAAAATTTAGCCACTGCGGCTAAGGTATCTAAAGATGTGGCCAAGGATTGGTTAAAGAAACGAGCGATGTGGCAAACATACTTACCGGCACCGCGTTATATACCGAGGAAGAAGTTTGATATTTTTACAACGAATGAAGTTCATCAGGCTGACCTCTTGTTTCTTCCCCATGATAAGGTAAGACGCAAAACGTATAAATATGCTTTAACCGTAGTGGATGTGGCTAGTCGCTACAAGGAGGCTGAACCATTAACCTCGAAAGATTCAACAGAAGTAGCTAATGCACTGAGTCGCATATATAAACAGGGACCACTAAAATGGCCCAAGTTATTTCAAGTAGATCCTGGTCGCGAGTTTATGGGATCAGTAACTAAACTGTTAACAGAACACGATGTCGAAATCAGGCGTGGTCAAAAAGAGGCCCACCGTAGTCAAGCTATCGTTAAAAGATTTAACTGGACATTAGCGGAACTTTTGTTTGGATATCAGTATGGGATCGAAATGAAATCGGATCGATTAAGATGAACCGAATGGGTGACATGGATATCAGCTGTTGTATCAGCGCTGAATAATGAAGTAACGAGATTAATCGGGAAGAAACCATCCGATGCCATTAAAATGAAATCTGTGACTTCCGAATCTTCAGCACCGAGGAGAGTCAAAGAACAAAAACTTCCGGATAGAGTAAGCGTAAGATATTTATACCAGCCCGATGAACTCAAAGGAGGCCTACGTCCTGCAACCGGTCCCGTAAGATATATAACATTAATCGATTGGTTATGAAAGAAGGAGAGCCTATTCTTTATTATTTTAAAGATGGACCGGGCAGGGCATTTGTACGAGAAGAGTTGCTCATAGTCCCCAACGATACAGTATTACCACCATAACCAAAGCATAGGTAATTACACCATCCTTATCAATCCATCTCTTTGTATCTAAAGGGATAATGATGTCTTGTTCATTCTTAATCCATATATCCTGTGATTGTAACTTCTTGAAGAGTTCATCTCGTGTTTGAATGTTCTACCGTTGAATAATGCTTCTTTATAATGTTCGTGTTTGATATGCTTTTTTACCACATACTTCTTAACACCCTTAGCTTTTCTTATCTCTCCATTATCAGACTTCTTTATAGAATACATCTTAGGTCTTAATCCGACATACTCCGCTATAGGAGTCCCAGCACATTCATCCTTCATCTTAATACCTTTTTATTTACTACGCTGTGCAGTGGATTATCTTTTGGGTAATCGCTCGTGTCGTACACATCTATTTTTTCTGCTATATCTTTATACACATCCTCGGTTTGTATTTCCATCAACAAAGAATCTGTGTCGGTATATAACGCCGTATTGCTTCTTAAGTTCGTTGTAATAAAAGTCATACATTAAGTGTTTTGACAAGTCAAGAATACTCATACCAACGTACACCGGTCTGTTGAATTTTATATTACTCTTCTGCATATGCAACGCGGCTAAGTCGTTATCAAATATCTTGCTTCTGTTAAAAGCCGGACTGGCTATAAGTTTCCTGAGTCTTTCTTCCTCATTAGATCTGACAAATTTAACATCAACATGCTTCCTTAGATTCTCCATAGTTTTACCAAATACCGAGTTATTCATGAGCTTATACAGATTCTTTTCGAAATCGCTGGTAGCTATCTTTCTTAAATCTGTGTTCAGCCTTATATAGGGCTCCATCCAAAGGCTTTGATCAAACTTTAGAACTCTGTGTATTTTCTTTAGTTTCATACCTAATGATAGATATAACTGGAGATTTCTGTAGTGAACTATATATTTTGTCTTATCCATCAAATTTGGTACAAGTTTTTCTACGTTAGCTAACCTTGTATTACCCATCAAGGAGTGTTGATATTCCGACATCCAATCTTTATTAACCATTAATCTTTCGGGAGCTAGCGGATAACTGTTATGGTCTTTATGTATCGAATTTGGATATTCCAAGTCAACTTCTAGTATGTACCCTTTATTCACATTGATATTATGGATATCATTCACTTCCATCCACTCAAAACCACCCTTGGGTAAAGGTTGACTCATAGCCCATCCGTACAAATTATTGGTGTCGAGATATAATATATGAGTGTCGGGTTTACTCAGATCATATCCTTCCACTAATTTATTATTAGCCTTAGAATACCTTTTCGCTACCATCGATATACCACCTCTTAATCCTTTCTCAATAAACAAGAGCATATCGTAATCGGTGAGTAGTTTTAGTTCTACACCGGTCTTCTTCAACAATGCATCCCACGATAGTCCGGGACTGGAATAGTACCATGCCGGGTCCAAGCCGTATTGTTTTAAACATGTCTTTCTAAATATCTCAAATATATCGGCGAGTAACAGTACATTGGCTTTTAAGTACAGATCGTGATAATCACCTAAATTCTTACAACCTAATTTATCCCACACCGTCAGAGCGTGTTCATAATCAGCATCTGTTATTTTAGTTTCTGTTAAGTTACTTTAGAATGATTCAAGGGGTGGTAATTTAGTTTCGTTGAATCTAGACCAATCATCCATATATTCGTAAGGATATACACCTTTTATCAGCAACAAATGACGAGTTAAACGATCGGTATATTGATTTGTTATTGCAAAGTCATCGGGATTGTTCACATTAGCTAAATTGTCCAGGGAAGATAACAGAAACTGTACGGAGTCTATGAATCTAAGCCCATTACTTTGCTTTATTCTAGCTTTCCCATCCTTGTCCGATAATGTATAGTTTTAGTCAACGAGAATGATATCTATTTTTTCCATATTATTAGGAATACACGTTAAACCGCCGTCGGTCTTTGAGATAGCTTGCATAATGAGATGAGAATCATAGGCTCTAAGGTTATGAAACACAACGGGGATGGGTATTGTTTGAGAATTCATTTTTAGTTTCAAGTTACACTCGTTATGCGCGGCTCCTCGATAATTACCCGTGACATGGCAATGATCTCTTACGGAATCCCCATTCAGGGGTTTATTACAAACATGACAACTCGTTGACTTCTTATAGGCCCTCCAATCATCCCTCGTCATACACATGGGTTTCTTACACGATAAATTTTCCCTGATTATTCTCTCTTCAGTTTGTAGATATTTTAGGAACTTTCCCGCTGCATCGGGACCTCTGTAAATCACGGGCGGGTTTGTTTTCCCATCATACCTTACAACTATATATCCAAACCCACAAGGAATATGTTCTTGAGTTTTCTACGTAAAACTATCTTGATTGCTGTGTTCAGTATTTTCTATAGGTTTGATAAGTGCTTCGAAGTCAGCGTAAATTACATACGGTACTGGCATTTGATTACAATGATGTTCAAATTTTAATATTTTTTTTCCCTCTTTAGGCATATCGATCCTGATAGCAGTCTGTCCAACGGCTCTGCAGTCTTCTTTATGCGCTTCTAACAGATCTTGTCTGCAGTACCCATGCAGGCATCTTTCGCAGAAATATTTCCTTTTCCTTATATTTTGTTTGATCGTATAATAGCCTGTTAAAACTCTTTATCCACGTATAATGATATTTTCCATCTTCTTTTTATCAGAAATGAATTGATTCTGGGAATATGTCCCGGAGCCGAGCTTATCCTGTATACAACAATTCCTTTAGAATGTCCGAAAACATTTATAGCTAAATTATTTTGCTTTTTCACCCTATCAATTTGTGATATTGGTGTAGGTTCGTCTATGCCATCAAAGTTGAGTCCGTCGTTTTGGGGATAGCTAGAAGGTCTATTTGCAATTTTAGAATCTACGGGGAACAATGCAGATCTTATCATCATTCTTAAACAGTCATCAGATTTATTTTTTACATTAATTATGGCTTTTTTCTTTTTATAATACGGGGGTAAATCTATATAAGATCCACCTTTGAAGGGCATATAATTTGCTATATCTAAATATAAACTATCGATTTTATCCACACCCCAACCCGAACCTCTATTAGTCCAGCGTTCTAAAGTTTCCTGTATCTGTTGAATTGATGTATCTAATGATG